TCTATCTATCTATCTATCTATCTATCTATCTATCTATCTATCTATCTTTACAGGCCTCATTCATTAATAATGACTGGGGAAATACTTAATGAAAAATTTCCAACCTGTCTTGATAAAGAATCACATATATAAATAACTTAGAGAAAATTAATTGTTATGACTTAAAAGAGCAAAAAATGATGATGTGTATTTGACTGTACAGCATTGCTCTGTGTGTACATAGTATTAGATTACATCAATTAAAAATAAACTATATAAACCAAAACTATACTAACTAAAATTTAGTGACAAGAAGTTTTGAGGTGCAGCACGAACGTCATGGGTGAGAAAACCAAGAAGACACTGGGTGCAGAGAGTGAGAAAAGAATTTCAGATTAGAGGAAGAAAATTTAATGATTTTTACGTGGGTTGCAGAACATCAGTTTATATATATTTAGCTTTTTACATTTTAAGCATTTATACACATACACAGAAAAAATGAAAAAGAAACACAAGAAAATTAAAAGACTTGCCCGAAAGAAAAATTCAATTTTATAGTCACTAAAGCGTGAAAAACTTGTAAGAGCACCAATTGGACATTATCTCCTTAAAGTCACTCTCACAGAAATGCAGCTCTCAGCCGTGGAGGCTTAACGTAGGAGTCAGCATGTTTTCAATCCTTCCAAACATTACAGCGGCTGATCCTGGTGATTAGTTCCCCTATTTGGGTGAAAGAAAACCAATTAGTGAAATCAGCCTATGTGGAGCTTGGATGGAAACCCGAATGATGAGATTATGTAGTAAAAAAATATGTATATATGTATATATATATGTTACTGGTGTTGTTTTCATCATCAGAAATAGCCTGTATTAGTTTGACAGCCCAAGCTCTGGACATGTGATGTTTCCACCTGCAAAAAACAAAAAAACAGACCATTTTAGTCAGCTTCATTATCGCATCATCATTCATGAGGAAACTGCTTGAATCTCCTACGAAGGGTAAATATTGGTTTTGGATGAAAGCTTTGTTGGAGGGGGCAGCCGGTCAGGGACCTGTTGGTAAAGTCCCTGGTCGGCAGGGGGTCAGGGGTTAGGATGTGGACAGTTCCCCTGAGGACAATAAACAGGCCGGAGAAATGCAGAGGTCAGCGGCAGTCTGAGCCAAAAACAAGGGTCCAAAGGTCAAGGGCAGCTAATTAAGTGGCTATTTCCAGCTATTCCCAATTGACCGCTGGACTCAGAGTGAAACGTTTGAAGTCCATTAAAGAGGTCAATAGAAAAATAAAGACAAAAAAAAAAGCGAGCAAGGTAAACACACAATAAGCACAAAAACTAAATGCTGGGAGGGAGTTTTTATTTTTCATTTAAACTTAAATGCTATTTTCTCTTTTTAATTGTTTTCTCATGCTTTTGCCCATTAGTTAATTTAGATTTGTATCTTGGTTTTTGTAAAGGGGAAAAAAAAAACAACCTCCCCGCTCAAACTGAGAGATCCCAACATTTTGGAGGGAAGTTAGACGTTAATGTTTTCCCAGCCCGTGAATTAGCCTATGCCCATGAAAACTTTGCATAAGAATGGAAATGTGGGGTTGGGGAGGGGGTGGTTGAACTCCTGTGACACCGAACCCTCTCCCAGGATGTGAATGGTATCACTCAAGGGCTACCCGGCAGCCTCTCGGTCAGACCTGAGCCCTGCCCTCGCCTCCACTTCTAATCAGGCTGATTTAATGCATCCTGCGAGTCCCTGCCCGTCGCCCCGCTCTCTGCTGCTTCAGAGGAGTCCGACTCTCACAGCGGGCAAACAGAGCCCTGCCTCTGGGCCTCTTGCACTGTGTGAATCTCGAGGAGCTGGTTTGAAACAACAAGGGGCCTATTCTCCCACCACAGTCTTTGTAATCAATTGGTTCCCCCAGCCCTGAGCTGATGTCTAATGAACACTGCCTTTGAGATCTTAGATTTAGGTTTAATTACGTCTGTTTGCCATTCTTCACTTCTTCTACGAATGAGTGTTTTTGGATGCTGTCCTAAATGTTGGTATTTATAAATGGCTTGAATATAAACAAAACTGTGTGAACAAAGAGAAATAAAAATTGATAACGCTAACATTGTAAAATACATTCAATCATATGTCCATATCACTGCCAAGTCATTATATTAGAGTTAAAAAAACATCCGAAGTTTAATCTTTGATCAGTATTAGCTATGTCAGCATGCTGTTTCTTTTTTATTGGGGATTTTCTTAATTGATCCTGAATTCACAGTGTTTATCTGATTATAAGTGCAATTTTAAAGATAATACTGACAATCTTAAAGTTAGTTTGAATTATAATATACAGGAAACTGATTCTGGAGAAAAAAAACTCCCATCCCACAATTACCTGAACTTTAAAGTTGGAACACATTTAACAGAAAGCTCTGTATGAAATATCCTAACAAAAGAGTTGGGCTTAGTTAGTTTTCCATAATGTAAAACAAATGTTATGCAGTATGGCTTGATCTAAACGTACTTTTCTGGGGGTTTAAATGGCTCTAACTATCAGTAACAGTATAACCAAACACTTGGGTTTTGACAGATCATAAAAGAATTCTGATTCCAGCTGAGAATCAATAATCACATTGTAATAATTATGAAGATAAAATGTTCATTACATTTATTTTGAATCAGATAAATATGCAAGAATTCTATCTGAAGTCTTATTGTTAGTATTAGGCTATAGGAATGCTGGCTGAATGGTGATTTTTCTTTATTTTTACATTAGTGTTTGCAGCTCAAGTGCCTCTTTTGATAGGTGTGGGACAATTAGTTCTTCAGCACGTCCCGCCTCTTGTTACAGCTCCTTCTCGGGTTGTAATGCAGTTAATGGACAACCTGTGTTGCGCATTGTAGGTCCTTAGAGCCAGTTGTGTTTATAAGTATAGGCTTTGTGCCCCTTAAACGCTTGTTAAGAGGGATTTAAAATGATAAGATTGGTAATAAAATAAATATATTTAGGTAAAAGTATAATTTTGGGGACAAACTTTTGGGGATATATGTGATCTGAACAGTGTCAGATGAAATATTGCAAAAATCTTCCTGTAACCTCCTCTGAAAATGTGCGTTTTTGTAATAGAATATTTTTCCTCCACACGTCCAGTATTTTCGCTGGAACCTCTAGAATAAATCCAAACCAACCAGCAGTTGCGTGGAGGAAAACAAAACAAAGAAACAAAACCAAAAAAAAGTCATAGAATGTAAAAACGATTTAATATTTCGATTTAAAAATACAAACAGTTCTGACTCTAATTTATGCCGATCGGTTAGGCTGTTTTAACCACGAACTAATGACTGATAGAAACAAGTAAACTACAGCGTTACATTATTATTTATATTTCCTTATTTATCTTTTTATTGCCCGCTTCATAATGCCCCGTTTTGAAGTAGCTCGTTTTACAAACTGCCAACATAAAGGGGACACTTTTAAAAAGGAGCTTCCATTCAAAGTGTAACCCCAATAAACCCTTTAATAAGCCTTTTATTGATCAACGGCAGGTTTATGAAATCTTAGATTCTGCACAGCCAAATGTTTGTGCTTTCTTGGCTGCCCATGGCAGTCAGAAAAGTTTAAGAGACGAAGTATTTTTGTTGTAATTCTCCCCACATCGGAGACTGTCTTGTTCCTAAAAAGGAGAATACGTGGGCCTGAACCGTGGCAGCCATCGTTTCCACCACACTAAAGCAGCAAAATAAGAATTCTGATTAAATTCATTTAGGTAAAAGAAGCCGACTGACTGATTTCCAACAGAGTCGAAAAAAGATGAAGATCGCTGTGTACTTTATTAAAAAAAAAGATGAAATTCAGAGACAATCAAAACGTAAACGAATAATAAAAAAAAGAAAAGAAAAAGAGCTAACAGACAGCAGTCGCTCCACGGTGGCACACACAGTGCGCATGCTCCCTCATCCTCATCAAAGCCGCAAACAGCGTAGGTTTGCATCTCGTTCTAAAAAGCCACGTGAGGTTTTCAGCCATTCCGTCCTCTCACAAATCTGTAATGACGCTGATGCTTGCAGCTTAGTCCTGATTGGCTGATGACGTCGCGAGCCTGCAGTCAAGGGTGAAAGGTTTTAACATTTGCTGTAGAATTATTTCTGCTCCAAATTTGATTTTAGTCTGAAATCCATATTTATAAAGAATGCACTAATTTGCAATTTCAAAATGCACAAAAAATATTTACATTCCGTCTTATCGGTTGTTTTTCTCTTCAGACTGCTGTCTTCCCTCTCTGTAGGAATTATAGGGCGCATTCCAACAGGCTGATTTTAGGCCGGCTCGCCATTCAGATCCACGCAGACACAGGGGACGTGAACCGTGTCTGATGTGTGGCTGCCGTGTTGGCCTTTGACCCCGGGCTGTCTGGAGGGGCTGCAGTGACTGAGAGTCATGGTCAATGGTAAGTGAGGGGGGGGGGGAGGAATGGGCGGGGGTACCATCTGATGGGTGGAAATGGTCCTTGTCTGGGAGAGCAGAACCCAGACAGTCCCAGACGTCTGCCCAAGAGGAAACAGTGGTGTCTGTGAACCTCTGTCTGTTCCCACTCGCCTCTGTGGCCCTGGAGGGGCCACGACATGTTCAGGGACCCACACGGGGACTGTTCACACATTAAAGATGTGTGAGGCAAAAAATCTGAATGTCTCTTTTCTTTTAGATGCAGATCATGCAGACAGTGATATCAAAGAAATAAGTTCCCTCTATTACAATCTGATCCTCAGTCTCAATAAAACGAAACTCCACCCTCGCCACAAAAAGTTACTTTTGTTTTTCTTTATTAAGATGCAACTTGACACATTAGGCTATGACTTTTTATTACACTATGCTTTCAAGATGAAAGCATAGTGAATTATAGTAGGCTGAATTATAGTAGGCATTAACTGAATATTTAGGGAATATGTAGTCATCTACATGGCAGGTTTAGTTCATACTTTCAGCCATTTGTGATGTGCAGCTAATAAACCAAAAGCTTTTGATTGTTTAAACTTGTGTTCCCTTTCAAAACGGCAGTTTTATTTGCAAAATATAGGATTACCTTAGGATTTCTTCTTAACATATGACTTTTGCAATGTTCAAGGCCCAGCTGTCCATTTTCAAACAAAAGAAAACACTTAATTAAACTTAAATTACTAATTAACCTACAGTGGAATGAATTTACTGACATTTTGACTCCACTTTCTGCTTTCTCTGCTTTTAATCCACTTGAAATGCGCTGTGGCTGATGTGTTCATTTAATGAATCAGAAAAGCTTGAAGCTACATCTGCAACTACATTTCTTTACTTGAAACTACTAGAAATGAGTTAGTCACAGTAAATTCATCGACGAGGAGTCTGGCCAGTCTCATTGTGTGCAAAGGGGTCCAAATAATACTGCAGACTCAGACAAACTATCGTCTCAAACTCATAGCTACCATAATTGCGGCATAAGACTCAGATTATCAATATGATTACAAGCTAGTCGAAATTGATTCCGGCAATGACAAGGCCGTAAGAAATACTTTTGAAAAGTATATGTACATTCACCGTGTGGAACCTTCACTCTGGTCTCACCGTGGGATCTCACTGATCACAATCCAATTTATCACAGGGTGATCAAACATCTCCGAGCAGAGGCAGCTCCCTCTGCAGGTATGAAATGGTGTCTCTTATATATTGCGGGGCATGTTCACGCTGCTAACCATATCAAACCAGCCGCAGACATACACACACGCTTTCAGTCAAACTCACATTAACCGTCACAGCTATAAGGCCCCAAAGACCTACTGGGTGATCTGCAGTGGAGCGTGTAGCCACCTGTCAATCACCAGATCTCGGCTGCCTTAAGAGAGACATTTCGTCTGGGACAACAGCCGCCCGTCCCTCCCCATACATTCAGCCTCCCCTAGCAACCATCACCGGATGACTGAGAGGCTTTGTCCCCTCACAACGGGAGTCTGCCATTGAGCCCAGAAGCCCATAGCAACCAGAATTAGAGGGTGTCAGAAAGGGGTCTTTTCTTGTGAAACGGGGGTGAAAGCTCTGTTCTTGTCCCCACGTCTGGGATTCATATCATGGACTTGAATGGCATCCCCACCTCCTTTTAAAGGCTAGTGTAAAGGAGCGTATGAAGGGGCTAGCTGTGAGCGGATAGGATCATGGTTAAGCTGCTGTTCCTCGCCACTGTGGTCCGATAGGGACACTTAAGCAGCCTCTCTGGCGTGCGGAGGCCGGCAGATACCTGCAGGGCACAGAGCTGCGGGGTGCAAAAGTGATGGACAGCAGTGGAAGAAGGACTAAGAGCATTCATAGCATTAGTATCAAAGTCAACATTATAAGAATGAAGTTTGACATTAGAAATAAAAGATAGGCTATCAGTAGTTTAGCAGAAAATTGACCAGGGCGATAATAACTCCAAAGGCCTTTGGCATTTGGTTGTCAGAAAAACCAACTCAAACTTTTTCTCATGTAAAGTGGTTGTGTAGAAGCAGTTGGACTCTAGTAGCAACGTTAACCTAAAAGTTCAAGAAAACAAGAATGGAAAAAGAAAAGGGCGAAAGCTTTACAATTTCCCTAAGAGGAATCACTTCCTAGGGGAACTGGAGCTGCACGAAATGTGAGCGGATTAACTACCGGGAGAAAGTAGTACAGATCGGAATAGTTTATGAAGTGTTTTATAGACTTGTTGCATTCAACGGGGTTTTTACAGCTCTGTTTATTGCGCAGCAAACACACACCTGCGAATGCCGCTGTCACAGCTTTAGATCCTTGTAAATGTTAACAGAGTTCATCGGAGTGGAACCATAAAAAGTGAGTGACACACTTCCACAAAACAATGTGCGTATGTTTTTGCCAAACAACGGAGATGAATAATAGAACGGTAAAATCCACCATTGGATTCTCAAGCATGACATCCCAAGTTGTGTACCACCCTTCTGTATTCTGACAATCTCTTTCACATGGCAGTGAGAAGAGTACAATCTTAAACAGCAACACGGCGTTGAACGTAAAGAAGTTCGGTTTAGTTTTTTTGGTAAGTTCTTTATCATTAATGAGCGTCTCGGCGGCCTCTTGTATGGGGGGACTTTTTGTGCAGCTCCCATTCTAAGCCTCCATCCTGCACCTCGTTCCCAGCCCTGGATTCCTTCAACCTGTCAATCAAAGATCATGATTGAGGCCGGGTGGAAGGCAGTCAGTCATCAGCCATGAGGCCGAGGCCTCATCACCCCCCCGCCAATGCCCTCCAGGGTCCTCAATTGGCCATTCTCTTGACCTTACCTACGGTCGGTCACATGTATGACCAGTTTCTGTGTGAGGAAAGGTAAGCTTTGTGGTGTCAGAAGGCCAGGCTTCCAAAACCAGAGGGCAAGGCCTGCTCTTATTTTAAAATGAAGTCTTATTTGGTTTTAACAGGTCTCTGCAGTTGCCCTTTAAGTGGCTGATTAATAAACATGAGAGGAGCAGGGGCGGGAACTGCAAGGAGTGGGAAGAGACGGGACCTGTTTTTTGTGTGTGTCTGTGTGTGTGTGTGTGCGTGCGTGTGCGATTCGGTGTGTAAGGGAGGATCCAGGGCAATGGGGGAGCCTTTCTTCCCAGCAGGGCTGCATCTCGTTTAATTGGAGCACTTGTGGCACCATTACCTCCTTTACTCAAACACGTTACTGATGACAAAAGAAAACAGCGCTAAGCTTGCTTTTGTTGGAGAGGAGACTGGATGAGGAGATGGATTCCTCGCTGCTACTCATATGTGGGAATGGTCCACACTCCCTTTGTGAGTCGCTGCCCCCCTCCACCAATAAAATTCCTCGGACAGATGCATAGGCGGCGGAACGTATGGAAACCCAGCCGCCACCAAAGAAATTAAATGTTGCCAACAGATACGGAAAAATGATAGCTTAGGGTTGTTATTTTGCACATGCACAAACACAGATAATTTTTTTAAATCTGGAAAGTAGTTTTGCTTTGAACCTACTTCTGTGTGAACAGGCACTGAAAGATTCACCCGGTCATTCAGTTTGAAATAATTTACTCCAGGGTGCTCGTTAAGCTTCGTCAGTGGCTTCACTCTTCCCTCTGACACGGTCAGGGTCACAGGACTGCTGTCCCATTTGTTTTTGATCACATCAGCATCCCGGGAGAGGAATAAGGGTGTGACCTTTAACCTCTATCTGACCTCACACGAGAGGGGAAACTACAAAAACAGGAAAGTTCATCAACTTTTTGGATTTCCAAAAAGTTTGCTCAGTATAACATATTATTTTGAGCAAGTGCTTTATACACCCCTCTGTAGACGGTTAAAAATAATAATAATATTGAGCAATAAAATGAATTAAAATGGGCTAAACTTATTATGAAATTACAACCATATAATAACAATTGTTTGTGACTCCTCAAATTATGTTGGCACAAATAAACTCACAAAGTCATGATTTGGTCATTTATAAAGATAGAAATCATTCCCAACTTTTCCATTTTGCATTTCCAATAAGAGCATTAATGCATACTTAATGATAAATTACAAATTATGTAAGCCCAAGTATGATCATTAACATTTACCAACTACACATAAGCATAGAGGAGACTAGTGTAAAACCAGTTGAAAATGTTCTTTTATTGACATTTATTGCGTCTTACAAACCAAAGATAAAGTGCAAAATAAATGCTAAATAATCGGGAATCAAAGATACGGCTTGTCATGTGTACTTAATATCACAATACAACTTAAGTACAAATCCATAACTAGTAACATGATAAACTCTTTGTAAAATTCTCCAGAAAGATGCACAAAACTGATTCACATTTAATTTTATCAAGAGAAAACAACAGCAAAAAAATCTGTCACCATGTAAATAACAGCAGGATGAAGGAAACTTACAGAAAAGCACAAAAGTCTGTATTCTCTTAAATTCTACCTCTAATTTCTTATGTCACATAGACCCAAAAACAGTTAAGACCAAAAATCAACGGTGTTGATTAAAACATTTTGCATCAGATCTTTGGGAGATAAACAAACATATGTTTGCAAAATAATGGGTAAATTTATGTCCCAATTAAATGAAGCCAATCAAAACAATGCCTATCATCAAGACATTTGAATGTAAATTTATTGAAAAGCGATTCTTCCATGGAAGTCAGAGGAATGACAGCAAGGTTTCTAGAGGTTTGAAGAAATCATGCTAACATTGTAAGAAAAAATGCTGGTGGAGACTGACATGAGATGACTGATCACACTTTCTGACCAGTGTGAAAATAAAAGAATAAATTGCTCTGTGAGATCATGATCGAGGCCTAGACTCCGGCTCCATGGTGAAATTTGACTCCGCTCTGCAGAAAAAAGGTGTTGCACAATGTGTGAAAATTTTTTTTTTTTCACAGATCATAAAGCCAAACAATCTGCTTGAAAATGTTATTGAATCAGAATATATTTTTTTAGGAGTTCGAGTGCTTGAATTGCATTTACTGGGGTTGGCTTCTCTCCAGTCACCCACTTATGTGGATATCACTGAAATTAAAATGCCATAGACAAAAATCTGATCTGATGGGAATAAAACGCCCGTCCCTATGCAAGCAACATTGATATTTTCACTGTAAACATGATGGCTGTTGCATAACTCAAGGTTACTTTGTGAGGTGGAGCATATGAAGGTGTTTTGGGAATACCCCCATCAACAAACAGCAGAGGGGAGCTTCAATCGGAAGCAGCGAGCACATGTTCTGCATCAGCTCTCTGTAATCAAGCCCACAGTGGGCGCTGAGGGCAGCCTGTTTTGTCTCTGTGCTCTCACGTTGTCAACAACCACAATCTCACCTTGTTCTCATGCTTTACACCCGGCCATGAAATAGATATTCTCCACAAAGGGGGGCAACTACAACGAGACATGTTCTGTTTTTTTTGTTTGTTTTTTTTTGCTGTGCTCTGCTGCCACCAAAAGGACACCTCATGCAACTGGCTGCTGCATCATGTGTTCAGGATGGGAAAATCATCTCCGTGACCAGAACACTGCTGACATAAAAAAAAAACAGACACTTACACATCTTTGTTCCGCATGTGGTTGTTGTATTGCAGAACTGGTGGAATGCTCTCCTCGTCCTCTGGCACCTGCAAACAAAGCCCAGCACGATGAAAGTTAACTCTGGTCTCTTCTTAAAGGTCAGAAACTGGAAACTCCGGAGGTATTTTTTTATGAATGGATGGAACGGAAACATTGATGACCATTATTTAATGTAAATAATGGAACACCAAACAATGAAATGTTTCCGGTTACATAACAGTACAAAGTCAGAAAAATGTATGTCAGCCAAACCATTAATCTACAATTAGTTTGTAACTTTTTAAAGAGGTTTTCCATTAGTATAACTTTAAAATGAATGGAATTAATTACTGGCTGAACTCTTTTAAAAAACAACAGGAATACAAATAAAAGATAACAGATGTTTCCAACCTCCCAGTAGGGCTCATCGTCAAAGCAGTTGTCGTCCGCTGGATCTCCCCATATAGGTAGTCTTAGGATAGCACCTGAGAAGGAGAACAGGACCAAAGTCAATTGAGGTTGAAGAACAGATTTTATTCCAGCTTGATGAAAGGATATTACAGCTGTTAGGTGGCGTGGCTCCTTACCTACTAAGATGCCCCCGCCTATGCCAAAGCAGATTGCCACGCAGAGGCCTCCCGCCTGGTGACCGCCCTGCTTCGTGGGTACCATGTCTTTGAAATCGCCCACAAAGTCAAAAGTGTTGATGAGGCTAACAAGAAAAGCAAATATTAAATAAATAAATACAAGTAAAAACTAATCTTTGTATAGCTCCTACATCACATCCTTTTTGGAAACACGCATATGCATGTGAATTTTTTTCCCTTCCCTTCATTGTTTAGTATGCTTCCCTAAACCCTGAACTCTCAGAGGTTGCTCTTGGCTTTAATGAGGGAAAACTTACCCTTGGCGGCCATAAACGGACTCATCCGCAGCGGCAGCAGTGATGGCTCCAACAATACCACCTATGACCCCTGGCATGGCGTGGAGGTTGTGGATTCCACATGTGTCCTGAATCTTCAAGTACTTTTCCATGAATGGCTGAAAACAAATTACCAGGCTCATAAAAAAAATGTTTTCTGTGTTCTGTTTGTTTGTTTTTTTGTTTCCTTCCAAGTCAATAAATCAATAAAGCGTATGATTCAACAATTAAACAGCGCCCTGATTGGTGCTTACTTTAAAACACAAAATCTGCCCTATTTAATAACAAGAAGATTGAAAAAAACAATACTTTGAAATAAACAGCTCAGAAAATATAAGACTAAATTGCTGGTTATTTTGGGACATCTGTAAAATAAAAAAAATATTCATACCGTGATGTAGATATATCCAAGAGTGGATATAATACCACAACAGAACCCTACAATCAGAGACCCGTAGGGCATCAGCATGAACTCTGCTGCCGTTCCAACGGCAACGCCTCCAGCTAGTGTAGAGTTCTGTATGTGAACCTGGGAAAAAGTCATTGAAAATGATGTCAGTAACAGACTGAATATGTACAAGTATTGCAGATCTTTTTGGACAGTCATAATGCTGAAAAGAATCCTTCAAACAGTACTGTGTAAAAACATTAAACACACATATTAAAATCCCGCATTTTTTATTCCGTAACCTAAATCTCCTCATATCCATAATATGCCAAAGTGTTAAAGAATCCGGGATATATTTTTTACCATGTCCAGCTTTCCATGTTTCTGGAAGAGGCTTGAAACGGCCACAGTAGTGAGCACAGTGGAGGCCAAAGCCAGGTAGGTGTTGATGGCTGCTCTGTGCTGCCCGTCCCCGTGATCTGTTATGGCTGAGTTGAAGCTGGGCCAAAACATCCACAAGAAGAGGGTGCCTGTTAGGAAAATCATCACAGGTTCAGTGCTCAAAACCGCTTTGAGAGCAAAAAAAGTTAAAAAGAGTGAAAAAAGCTTTTATCGGCTCACCAATCATAGCAAAGACGTCAGAGTGGTAAACAGAGCCGTTCAAGCTTTTGCTCTGGTCTAGATTTGGTCGGTAGAGCATCCATGATATGGACAGGCCATAATAGCCTCCAAATGTATGGATTACCATGGAGCCTCCAGCATCTCTAGCCTTCGGACAGAAATTGTTTGAATGAGTTGTGAAGGGAATACAGACAATGGTTATGATTTTTTTGGTATTAATGTAAAAAAAGTCAAATATAGCAGTTACCCTTATCCTTTAACATCTTTTTAAATTATTTGTGATACAAAAGAGGCAGATTATGCACTTTTTACAACTTAGTTTGGCTGAACCACATAATATTACCACTATTGGACTGTAAGGATGCTGCAATTTCAGTGCAAGCTTCATCCTACGATAAAATGCTTACTCCAAAATACTTAAAGAAAGAACACCACAGCTGTTTTGCATACAATTGATTTTAGAAACTTTATGAAGAAGAGCTATTTTATTTTATCTTGATAGTTGTGCATTGTAACAGAAAAACAAACACCAACATTTGCTACACTAGTTTACTTACATGAATGAGATTTAGGATGATATATTCCTCCACAGCAAACAATGTAATCCCAAATAAAGTCAAAACCATCAGCTGGACTGGACTGACTTTGCCCAGTAATGCTCCATAGGCAATTAAGCAGCCAGCCACACAGAAATCAGCATTTATCAGGCTGAGGAGAAAAAACAGCCAATATGTGTATTAGAAGAAGAATGCCAGTTTAAAAAATGTTCCCAAATGATTTTCAGGCAACTGGACCCAAAGATTAACAACTTTCTGACATCAAACCTCCCTCTTGAACTGTAATTTAAAAATAATTTATTTCAATTAATGAATATATAAAAAATAGAAACATTTTTACTTTTCAACCCCAATTTTGATCTTCCCATCAGTATAGTCCAGGGAGTGGAACCAGCCCTGCATCAGCAGCGCCCACTGGAGACCAAATGCAGCGATGAGGAAGTTGAAACCCACTCCACCAAAACTGTATCGCTTAAGAAATGTCATCAGGAAGCCAAAGCCAACAAAGATCATCACATGCACATCTTGGAAACCTATATGGAGAGACAAATTGAGAAAAACACTTTATAAAGCATCAATCAGACTAATCAGAAAATCTTCAGTTGACTCTTTAAAAGTGCCTGAGAATTTGTAAATATTCATCTGCAGAAATTTTAGACAGAACACAAATGAACTTATCAAACAAAAACAAATATAATGCACATGAAAAAGACTCTTTGTCCTGGTTGAGAAAACAAAAGTTATTCAAAAACTTCTAAAGCTTGTTAATAAGCTGTTTCAACAAACCAGATGAGAATAGAAGTATAGATGTGGAAGGTCCCCTCCCAGATTAATGAAAGTCTGATCGCTAACAAAGACTGAACAACGTTATAGAATCAGAAAGCACCTCGAAACAACAGGGCGTTCAAGAATCCCCGCTCCTGGAAAGTCATATTAAACAAGGCACAGAGCAAACACATTGTTTGCCAAAGGTTTAGCGAAAGTCCCCACAAAATAAACACATACACTTTTGCCATTTGACGGTTTTTTTCATGGGCATAAAACCCCCAACAGAAACCTATAAAAAACTTTCAACAGACCTACAGAGAAGAAATTAGGAAAATATTTGCCCTGCTTGTCATCTATAAAGCACAGTGGAGATAGTGTCATGGTTTGGTCTGCTCTGCTGTTCTCAATGGCCTGAAGTGTAGGAAAGCTGAGTTGTATAATAAACTTTACTATTCTATTGAAATATTCACAAAATATGCATTAACTTTTTGGGGGTTAAAGGGTCCAATTACTACTCACAATTTAAGCAAAAAATATTGTAAAGGTAATCATTCACAAGCCACAGATATAGTACATTTTCCCTATTATGTTTTTAATGTGATGCCAAAACATTTTTTCACATTTTAGTGTTCTTAATTAAACTACCTCCTGGTGGAAGGACTGCTTGTATACTGTGATTAACCATAAACACATTTGTCCATCATGCAGGTAACACAAGGGCACATTACATAAGAGGAAGGTATTGCGTGAAGAAGACTCAGGGACACTCCGGTGTGTATTTACTGTTACTCACTGATTAGCTGTGGCTATGTTTAGATGAAACTGATCTTTATCAAGTTACATATACAGGTAGCAATATTTCTGAAACTGGCTGGACAGTTTTAATCATAGCGTCAGTCCCAAATATGTGACAAACCATCGTTGATCGCTTCGCTTTGACATCCTGAAAACAATTATATATTTAGAAGTCAGTTAACAGATAGGGGTGCACAATGGAAAGCAACACGCACACACAAAAAGAAGAGAGGGTAACACAATTACACTTCGTACTAAGAAAGTCAATCTGCCTTTAGAGAGAAGAAACAATTAAGTTTCAACAAGTTATTCATTAAAGAACTTCTCGTAATAATAAAAACAGAGAGACTAGGATTAGTTTGTTCTTCTTTATGTGACAATGTATGTTGATGCCAGCATCCTGTACCCGGTGTGAGTTACAACACAATACATATCTGAGGGCACAATAGGTTCCCACTATATTGCGAAACACTATAGTCTGCATTGTAGCACCAGCAACAAGCTCGTCAGATTGAATGTTCTTTTAACAGCCGACAAAGGCCCCCCGATGCCTCGGTCTCAGCTCCTGCCAACACTGCAAGCTGATGTTGTCTGGCTTCTTCACCTCATAACGTCTGGTCTCACACACACTAAACGGGACACAGATTTATCATTCGACATCGGAAACCATATCTGAGATGGTTTCATGATAAACCGACACTGATACTGTGGAGGTTTCTGCTGTACTGTACAGAGCAATACCACCACACCCACACAGGACACCCTCACATACACGCAAACCCTCAAATTGATGCTAGTCAGGACAAAGGCACTGGCATTAAGATGTCAGCTGAGATGGAATGAGAAATGCCCCTTGGGAAAGTATGCACCTGTAGGTGTCAGATCCATGTCAGCAATATGTATTAGCAGGAAAATATGAGAACTATAAGCAATAAATAAAATTAGAACAAGACCCATATAACATCAAACATTTAGATGTGAGATTCAGACAGAAATTAAAGTTGCTTACTTGGATATCTGAAGTAGAAGTCGTTCTCAATGTCACTCAAATTTTCTTTTTCCCTTTCTTCGACCCAGTGCGGGTCCGACTCCTTGTTGTACCGGATAAAAACTCCAAACAGGATGATCATGGCCGTTTGCCACACTATACAAACTGCTGGAAGGCTGAGACGAACATTTGTGTTTTTCGGCCCGTCGCACATCTCCCTGAAACTTTGAACCCCACCCATTGTGACTTCCTATTTGGGATGGTTAGGAGTTTCTGAAAGTGCTCATCTCTCAGAAGAGTGTCACTGCTCGGCTCAGCTGCCGTTTTGTGAAAGTCACAAACACTATAAGGGGCCACAGCATCTAAAAGTTCAAGAGCACACACCCTGAGGACACTCCCACAGCCACTCCCTCCACACTGCACAGACTGTACTCCACTCTTTACAGGGACACGTGTCCGAGTTGAATTAATTCAGATTTATTCAGTGCACAACAGTAATTATGGAGCCCCTTAAGATTTCTGATTAGAGGAAACGAAACAGCGTAATCACATTATTTAATATTAAGATCTTGTGCACACTCATCTGTTATTTAGAAAATGTTGTGATCAACTTTGGGGATTACTCCCTCTCATCTCATCCCCTTACACAAACAAGCTTTGCACATGGATTAGAGCCATTCATTTAAAACGGGCCACAGCAGCAAATGCACACAGCAGCTGCGTACAGTTTCTCATCCTTCATGTTTCCCGTTTCCCTTGTAAACGTCTGTAAGAACTTAAGTTATGAACTTGTATATGAGCTAGCTTCATTAGAAGTGTGATAGGTGTAATAAAGTCAAGTCAAAGACAGACAGTGGACAAAAAGTTCAAGATGACCAGCCACTGGCACATTCCAACATGGCTGATATGCTTGCAATTTAATACATTAATAACATGTATTATAATGCCATAACTTCCCTTTGGGATTAATGATGCTTCACTTAATAAAATTCTAAATAAATGATCATTTAAACTTTGCCAATCTTCAGTATGTTACAGAACTCTTTTGTTTACAGTTGATTCATTAGTGATTTATCATACTGATAAACACACCTAACAGGAAATTAGCCATATTTTCACAACATGGTGTCTGTACTTGAAGCTAAGGTAACCAGCAAGTTGTGTCCCATGATGGTAACTGTGTAACCGTGCCATTCACCCATTCTCCCTCCTCTTTTTCAGGACACTGTGACTTCTTAAATGAAGGACTCCATAATCATGTCTTGTCTGATAATGAATCAATTAATTTGTGCTGTATTTCTACCTGGAAACTTGGAGGAGTAAGCATTTAGAGGTTGGCATTGAAGGGCATAAACAAACCACTTACATGGTGGTATCAACTGGAAAAAGTGGAGGTAACTTTTGTACACTTACATTCACGGCACAGTGGGAACCTGCTGTTATGCAGGTTTTTGTCATTAGTAAATAGCATCATTAGCAGTTTCTGGCTATTCTGGCTATTTTCTGGCTATTCTTACCGTCTCACAAATGTAACACGCTGTACCTCAGTTGGCACAATGGAACACACAGACAGCGTGACGACACACACATGGGCAGTGTCAACCATACATATCCTGTAGTTAAGTGCTCATCCACGAAGGTCAAATACACAGAGCTGCCCCTTGGAACTGGGATAAAGTCAAGCAATGTAAGATTTTTATAATTATCCAGAATAAAGGCAAAGGTCAGCGACTCTCCCCCTTTTGAGCAAGGCAACTTTTTAGGGTTGTGCTTTGACACACATAAGAATCACTTAGTGGTAAAAGTTTGAAATAGTAAATGTGCTCGATATAGCACAATAATAAAGCAAATATAAAGCGAATAAAGCAAAAGAACTGTGCTTAAGTTTGCCGTTGTGTTTGACAGACGTTGTAGTTTTAATGATGACAGGTTCATTTCTCTTCTTAAAAGTGAAAAATTCAGCTCTAGAATAAACACTGTGGAATATGCCGACATGCGAGCCTACAAATGAGCATGGTGGCGCGTGCTCCCTGATGGGGAACTTCATTAAAGGGAGTGAGCAGATTTCTGTGGTCGCTGAACTTATGGATGCGCTTTGCACGGCTACCTTGGTGATGTTGCTCTTGCAGATGATGTGCACTTCGGGGACGATGGGAAACGCTGAATCTCTTTGATTCGAGCACTGCTTGTTAACACTGTTAACATGTGACATTAAAGCGGACCGACAAGTGTGAGTGAGTAGCAACTGAACTGAGTGGGATAAATGGATAGCAAACATTTTTCAATGATTCAAAGCAAGTTTATTACATAGTTTTGGATTAAACAGTAAAATCCCTTTTGGCAAACATTTACACTTTAAACACTTCTATCCAACCTGAATATTGATAAATATTTAAATCTTAACTACCAGGGTGGACACGCCAGCTGATTATTCAATCATTCGATGAGTGGGGGTGGGGAACAGGCATTAGCGTGCACAGGCGTCAGGTGTCTTGTCACTTTCAACATGAATGATTGCGTCTATTCATCCATCCATTATGGTGCTTTTAAATAACAAGAAAGCTGCTGCTCCAACCCGTCAAACTCATCTTCAGGTAAAAGATACCTCTGCACCGTGCTGATTACGTCTCTCTCGGTTGAGGATTCATAGTCCTGTTTGTTCTTAAAAGGCAAATGTCCAGCCAGCTCACAAAGAGCAACATTAAAGGCAGATTCCTCTTTGGCACCGAAGCAGGCAATTCTAGGCCATATTGCAATACGCACACCGTTTCTCAGAGGACGATCCGTTTTGCTCGGTACGTGACCACATGGAGGACATCCCCTGGTCAGAAACAGGTTATGAGCAATGTTCCTATCCACAAGAAAGTCTGTCACTTCACATACGCTGTTTGAAACTTCCTCCACCTTGTCGGATTCTGTATAAAACAAAAATCCTGCAGGAAAGTCCTGCATGCGAAAAAATCCCTTTTCAAACACCAAAGGCTTGACTGGTGTGGATTCTATCTTGAGTTCGTGGTCAAGGTAATATCCATGAAGGTGCAAATGATTGACAGAAGCGAAGGCCCCAAGACTGTTGAAGCCAACGCGAAAACCGGGGTCAGAGCTTAAGAGGACAGACTCGATACCGACCTGGACAGCAGATCTCGTCAGAATCTGTGGGAAACAGCGTGAAGGAGCAGGAACAAAGAGACAATGTCCAAACTCCAGAGGGCTGACATTAATCAATACAACCACCCTGGAGGGTGGAGGCATCTGGTCCTCATCAGCCAAAGCAGTATGTGTGTCCTTTATCATCTCAAATAGAATTTCATCTGGATTGATTTTGTTAAAGTTAAACTGGCTTTTATTAAATTCCTGCTGAATGCTCAGAATCTCCTGAGGCTTCCTTCTCTCTATTCCCCTCTCAATGTTAAGCTGAGCCACATAGCCATGTGAGCCGGGCAATACACGTGTTTCTAAAGCCCCCAGATGGTAGCGGAAGAGTCCCCTGTCCATCCTCTCTGTCCAGCCGGCTCTGATGGTCGTATCAAACTTTGTGGTTGGCGACGCAGGATGATTTTCACTCGTCCGGCACACATCTGTGACAAAGTCCTGGCAGCTGTACACAAACTGGAGAGGCATAATTGGATCTCCTGATGAACAGACAGGATTTTTATTTTTCAAAAACAGCTCGTCATCGTACACTTAATCCTCTTGAAATATCAGATAGACAGCTATTCATATGTGAAGCAAGTGCAAAACTTTACAGGTTTACATTTAATATCTGTTTGGAGTTTGAAGATACCGGAGGGAAAAAATCAGTTTGTTAAATAAATCGGGTCAACTTTTTGTCGATCATTCTATAAGCTGGTCAAAGGAAGCACTCATTTAAAAATTGAGTGACTAGTGAGTTCATTCGGCGCATAAACGAAGAGTAAACAGCTGCCATTTTACTGCTGACAGACAGCTAACAGCCTGCGGCTCCTTTTCCAAAACACATTACACATTACACAGAGGTGGCTGACTTTGGTCATTTTGGTGAGCTTACCTCCGTATATCGAGTCCGTGTGAAAATAAGTGTTCTCTAAACGGACAACACATTTGATAACGTTTTTAAAAAGCCGCATATAACTTCTTTTGGCATTACTTTAATAAGGTTTGAATTACTTTTTTTTTACTAGCACACACCATAGACATGTATACATATGTGTTTATGGCACCCACTAGCTGCTGCAGCTAACTTCCGTTTCCTCACCGGCGTTTGTTGATGTTTTTCCGGTTCAGTTTAATTCTGAGACAAGTCACCCGGAAGTTTAAATAGTTAACTGGCTGCATTTGACAGCACAAATTGAGTTTAACTCAATATTATGTAAATTACAATGTTAATTCTGTGTGGAATAATTCCTGTATTTACTACTTGAGACTGGACTACAACCAGTCTACACTGTACTTATTACTGATGACATTTAATAATTTACACCTGTTAAACCTGATCTTTAAAATAATTGTAGAGCAAAAATTGTTTAAAAGTTAAATACATCTTGCATTAAAGTAAATGACAAATTGCCATATTCCCACTATTATATACTCCCAAATATATTTTGAAGATATATTATTTGCAAAGTCATCCTGTAAATTTGGATGTAAGAGGCACTTATGAATTTTTAGCTGCTGAGTAATTGTCCAGTTTTTCATTGGTGACCAATATAGACAAAGCTAATTTCAAAAGAATGAGCAGCTGGCCAATCCAGCCATGTTTATTTTAAGGCACCCCCTGCTCATGCAGATAAAGGAGGCAGTGTCTGGCAGTGCTGTGAATGTCTGCCTGTGAGTTTGAGGGCTCACTACACGCAGTTTTATTTACCTTTTGGACAACCTGGACTTTAAGTACACTTTTGTTTCTCTCTGAATTCAAGTGTGATAAGAGATGGAACCAAGCAAAATTGGAGTAAGTAATATATTATTTTCAAAAAGCAATGTCTTGAAAGTATTTATATGGCATGAAATGAATCTTAGTAATGTTAGACTTTCATTTTGAGTTTAGCAATTGCACCTTTTTGTCTACTTTTTGAAAAAATCTTTATTGGATACTTTAAGAATTAGATAATTATATATATATATCGTTTGTCTGACAGACCAGATGGCAGTCAGTTTACTGCAACTCAGGTTATTTTTAACATCACCAAGTGTTTCCGTTACTAACACATCTCTCTTACCAAGAGAACTGTCGTATCTGTTTGTAAGTATTACAACACTATTCTAATCAGTCAATGTGTAGCTGTTTACTGTGGGTCGGTCGAGTGCTAATTTATATGTTAGATTAAAAGATTTTAGTAAGTTAAAAAAACGCATTGCACCATGTGAGTTTTGTCTTAAATCTGACGTTTCTCACCATTTTGTGCCTCATCATCTTGTAGATGGGAGATAAAGCTGAAGAAAAAGCTCAAACTCCAAATGTAAACATGACCCAAACTTCTGATACTGACCTCACAGGGGGGGCTTCGACATCCTCAACACTCTCTGTCCAAGGTATGCCGTACATAGAAAGATAGGTACAACATATTTTTGTCATAGCTATCTTTCTTACTCAGACAAGCTCACATCATTGGTACACCGGTTCAAGATGCAGTTTTGTAGGATTTTGGTTGTTATAGACTTTCTCATGTACATTAACTTTTTTTTTACCCTTGTTGATATTTTATATTTTTAAGAATTAAGCAATAGCTCATTAAATGTAAAGAAATTTTAACACCAAAATTACACTCAATGGTTTCATTAAAGGTAACATTTAAAGGTTTCTTGTGCTTGTACTGACAAGAGGCACCAATAAGAAGTGCCTTTGATTAGTTTTTCACTTGGTGGAAAAAATATTTGACAATATTTCAGTGTTAATTTACTCAATAGTCTAATATGTGTTATCTGATATCTACATGTTTTATTTATCTGTGGTTATTTAATCTGATATTCCATTTAAAATAATGTTAATCTTTCCCCAATCCAGGTCAAGTCGCTTCTCCTGCTGAGAATCAAACTAACAACTCTCGGAGTCAGCATGGCTCTCCTGCAGATAACGAAAACGCTATTGAGCCAAAACTCCAGATTACTTTTAATACGTTCACAGTTAAGAGTGGTCAAGAGTTAAAAGTAGAGATCCCTGTGGTTGGACACCCAGCACCAAAGATTGAATGGAAAAGAGATGGCCAGGCAGTGAAAGAGACATCAAGACTAGAGGTTTTAACCACGGCTTCATTAACTCTCCTTCATATCAGACACGGTGCCAGAGAGCACTCTGGTCAGTACTCTATTACAGCAAGCAACAGTGCTGGAAAATACACAGGAGAAATCACTGTGGTTGTTCTTGAAAAACCTGATCCACCTAAAGGCCCTGTGAAGATTCATGAGATCAGTTCTGACTATGTTATCATCTCTTGGGAACCACCTGAGTATACAGGAGGATGTCAGCTTGACAACTATATTGTGGAAAAGCGGGATACTGCAAGCACAGAGTGGCAGACTGTGTCAGCAACAACAGTAAGAACCACCATCAAAGTCACTAAACTGAAGACGGGTAGTGAATATCAATTTAGAGTATTTGCAGAAAATAGATACGGAAAAAGTCCTGCAATCACGTCTCCCATTGTAATGGCACAGTATCCATTTAGTGTTCCTGATGCTCCTGGCACCCCCTATGTGTCCACTGTGACAAAGTATAGCATGGTGGTTGAGTGGGAGGCCCCGGTCAGAGATGGGGGCAGCCCTGTCACTGGCTATCACCTCGAACGGAAAGAGAAGAACAGCATTTTATGGACCAAGTTAAACAAGTTTGTTATATCGGACACCCGCTTCAAGACAAGTGGACTGGAGGAAGGCATTGAGTATGAATTTAGGGTCATTGCTGAAAATATAGCTGGACTCAGCCCATGTAGTAAGACATCTGAATGTTATGTGGCAAGAGACCCCTGTGATCCACCAGGTAAACCAGAGGCTGTTGTCATAACCAGGGAGAGCATCACACTTCAGTGGACAAAACCCAAGTGTGATGGCGGAAGCAATATCACAGGGTATGTTGTTGAAAAGAAAGAGCTCCCAGATGGCAGATGGATAAAGGCAAACTTCACCAATTTGATTGAAAATGTGTTCAACGTAACAGGCCTGACAGGAGGTCAGAGTTATGAGTTCAGGGTAACAGCTAAGAATGCTGCTGGAGTGTGGAGTGCACCCTCAGAAACTGTGACTATTCTTGCTCAGGATGTTATTGAAGCACCAACTGCAGTCATTGATCCTAAATTCAAGAGCACTGTTGTTGTTCAGGCTGGGGAGTCATTTTCTATTGACGCTGAATACTTTGGAAAGCCTCTGCCAGACGTTCTGTGGTTGAAAGATGGAAGAGAAATAGATAAAGTCACACCAAGAATGGAGTTCAAAAACACTCTCACTCATACGACTCTCTTTGTCAGGGACTGCATACGTGTGGATGGGGGGCGTTTTGTCTTGAGCCTCTGTAATATTGGTGGAACTACATCTGTTTCATTCAATGTGAAGGTTTTAGATAAACCTGGTCCTCCTGATGGACCTCTGAAAGTAAAAATTGTGAGTGCAGAGAAGTGCAATCTTTACTGGAACCTACCTCTAAACGATGGTGGTGCCACTGTCACCCACTACACCATTGAAAAAAGAGAGACCAGCCGTGTCACATGGACAGCAGTCGAAGCTCATGTTGAAGCAGTGAGTTACAAAGTAACTAAACTGGTGCCTGGCAGAGAATACATATTCAGGATTGCTGCCGTAAATAAATATGGAGTTGGAGAATTTCTGGAATCAGAGCCATTTGTTGCAGAAAATCCTTTTAAAACCCCCAGCGCGCCTTCAACCCCCACAGCCAGTGCTGTGACTGGTGACTCTGTGGTACTGACGTGGGAAAGACCTGAGAGTGATGGAGGCTCAGAAATAGATGGATACATCCTGGAAAAATGTGACAAAGAGGGTGTTCGATGGACCAAGTGCAACAAGAGGAGACTGAATGACTTGCGTTTTCGTTGTACAGGGCTGACAGAGGGACATTTCTATCAATTTAGAGTTTTTGCAGAAAATGCAGCTGGTGTGGGTGCTCCAAGTGAGCCAAGTGAGTTTATAAAGATATGTGAGGCTATTTATCCTCCCGGTCCACCTACTAATCCGAAGGTGGCAGATTATTCCAGCAATACAGTATCTCTTACATGGTCAAAGCCAATCTATGATGGCGGAGCAGCCATCAGGGGATTTGTAGTTGAGATGAAGGAAGTAGCAGATTATGAATGGATTACATGTACACCCAGAACAGGTGTAGAGGACACGAACTACACTGTAAAACAACTCAAACAAAATTCTAAGTATAATTTTCGCATATGTGCAATCAATTCAGCTGGAATTGGGGAGTATGTGGAACTATCAGAGTCTGTGTTAGTCGTTGACAAAGTAGAGGCACCTGAGATTGAACTGGACTCTACGCTAAGAAAGATAGTTGATGTTCGAGCCTGTTCCACCTTACGTCTCTTTGTTACTATCAAGGGAAAGCCAGAGCCGGAGGTTAAGTGGACAAAGGAAGGTGGTATAGTGAGTGAGCGTGCTCAAATTGAAGTGACAAGTTCCCACACTGTTTTACTGATAGAGAATATCAACAGAAGTGACAGTGGAAAGTACGTGTTGACTGCTGAGAACTGCGTTGGGTCCAAATCAGCGTTCATCAACGTTAGAGTACTGGACTCTCCCGGCGCACCACTAGAGCTACTGATAAAAGATGTCACGAGAGATTCTGTGTCCATCTCCTGGAAACCTCCCCATATTGATGGAGGAGCAAAGATTTCTCATTACATCGTGGAAAAACGTGAGGATGCCAGAAAGGCATTCACAAGTGTCTGTTGCAACTGCGTAAGGACTTCCTATAAAATTGACAATCTACAGGAAGGTTGCTTCTATTATTTCCGTGTGCTGGCTGTAAATGAGTTTGGCACTGGATTGCCAGCAGAGACTCCTGAAGCTGTTAAAGTGTCTGAGGCTCCTCTGCCTCCTAGTAAAATCATGGTCAGAGATGTCACTTGTGATAGTGCAAAGCTCTGTTGGGAGAAACCTGATCATGATGGAGGGAGCAAAATCACATGTTACATCGTAGAAATGCGAGCCAAGGAGGACGAAATGTGGATGGAATACTCCAAGAGCAAAGCACTTGATGTGGCCATTAATGGTCTGATAAAAGAAAAAGAGTATTTCTTCAGAGTGAGCGCTGTGAATGAAAAGGGAAACAGTGAACCAAAGCCCTTGTTGACACCTGTTATGGTAAGGGATACAAGTGCTGAGCCTGTCATTAGTTTGCTGGCTAACACATTTAGTGTGAAGGCAGGGAATGATCTGAAAATTGACATACCTATCAAGGGTGTGCCATCCCCAACAGCTGCATGGAATAAAGAAGGCAACATAGTGAAAGAGACAAGCAGGGTAAATGTGCAAACATCTGACTCATCCATTCAGTTATTTATCAAAGATGCAACCAAGATAGATGCTGGTATGTATGAGGTGACCCTGACCAACTCTGTTGGAACTACATCGGCTGAAGTCTTTGTCAATGTTTTTGAAAGACCTGGACCACCAACTGACCTCAGTGTGGATGATGTGAGCGCTGACTTTGTATCTCTCTCATGGCACCCCCCTCTTTACACTGGTGGCTGTCCAATTACTAATTATATAGTTGAGAAAAGAGACACAGGCAGCACAATATGGCAGACGGTTTCAGCTACAGTTGCAAGATCATCAATCAAAATTTCCCGTCTGACGCAGGGCACAGAATATCAGTTTCGTGTTGCTTCAGAGAATCGCTATGGAAAGAGCCAATTTGTTGAGACAGAATCTGTCGTTGCCCAGTATCCCTTCAAGCCACCTAGTCCACCAACCAACCTTCATGTTGTAGAGGCCTCAAAGTCTGCAATGGTCATTGCTTGGAGCAAACCAGAGAGTGATGGTGGCAGCCCTATTATTGGTTATCATATTGAAAGCAAGGATCACAGCAGTATTCTGTGGTCAAAGCTAAACAGAATTCCTGTGACTGAGAATCAATTCAAGGTGACAAATGTTGAAGAGGGTCTAGTGTATGAATTTCGGGTCTACGCTGAGAATATGGCAGGAGTTGGACCCGGCAGTAAGTCATCTGATCCTGTGGCAGCAAGGGACCAGTGTGATCCTCCCTGTAATCTTACAGTCACAAATATAACCAACAGCTCAGTGTCACTGTCATGGGACAAACCAGAATATGATGGTGGGGCGAAAATAATAGGTTATATTGTTGAGCGCAAAGAGCTGCCAGAAACTTGCTGGCTGAAGTGCAACTTCACAAATTTACTGGACACCTTCTTTGAAGTGACTGAGCTCACGGAGGGTGAGCAATATGATTTCAGAGTTATTGCAAAGAATGCAGCTGAGCTCTTTAGTGCACCCTCTGAATGCATAGGACCTGTAACAGTGCAGCATGACGTGGAGCCACCAAAAATGGTCTTGGATGAAAAATGTAAGCAGGTGGTGATAGTCAAAGCAGGAGACATTCTAAAAATAGATGCTGACATTTCAGGTCGCCCTAACCCAACGGTGTTTTGGTTGAAAAATGGAAGAAATATTGGTACCAATGGTCGGATTGAGATTACTGCAACAAAGACACATACCTCTCTCCTCATCAGAGAGAGTGTTAGAAAAGACTCTGGACAGTATACTCTTACCCTGCAGAGCACAGGAGGTACAACATCTAAGGTTGTAACCTGTAAGGTGTTGGACAGGCCAGGTCCTCCTTCTGGACCCCTGGAAGTGTCTGGACTGTCAGCTGAAAAATGCACCTTGTCCTGGGGACCCCCTCATGAGACTGGTGGTGCTGAGATTATGCACTACATTGTGGAGAAGTGCGAAACCAGCCGTGTTGCATGGACCCTTGTGTATGGAGACATGTTAGCAACTACTTGTAAAATAACCAAGTTGCTTAAAGGAAATGAATACCTATTTAGGGTAAGGGCAGTGAACAAATATGGGGAGGGGGAGGTATTAGAAAGTGAGCCAATCAAGGCCATTGATCCCTTCACTGTACCATCTGCTCCAACGGATGTTGAAGTTACAAGTGCTACCAGTGAAGCTATGACTATATGTTGGAAGAGGCCTGCAAATGATGGTGGTAGTCGTATCAGTGGTTACATTATAGAGAAAAGAGAGAAGCAGGGTGTTCGCTGGGTCAGGGTCAATAAGAAACCAGTTTATGACCTGCGAGTCAAAGCTTCTGGGATTCATGAAGGTTGTGAGTATGAATTCAGGGTCTTTGCCGAGAATGCAGCTGGTCTAAGTGAAGCCAGTCTACCATGTCCTCTGATGCTGGCAGAAGATCCAAAGTTTCTACCTTCTCCTCCAACAAAGCTTACTATTGTGGACTCAACCAGATCTTCTATCACTCTTACATGGAACAAGCCACTGTTTGATGGTGGGGCCCCAGTAACAGGGTACAAAGTGGAATTCAGAAAATCAACAGAGGAGGAATGGGTTATTGGTGCTCATAACACCGAGAAGACAGAGTTTACAGTAACTGGGCTCACACCCGGAGAAGAATATGTTTTTACTGTCAGATCCATTAATAAGATTGGTGTCAGTGAACCAAGCCCTGAAACAGATTCTGAAGTTGCCATGGAGAGAGAGGAGGAACCTAGGTTCGACATCAGCCCTGAAATGAGGAAGACCCTGCAGGTCAAGGATGGCAGTTCCTTTACTTTGACAGTGCCTTTCAAAGGCAAACCTGCTCCCAGCGTGTCATGGGAAAAAGCAAATGTTGATTTGAGGGTCAGAGGACTTGTCAACACCAGCGGTTCTGTCACATCTATCACAGTAGAACAGGCAACGCGGGATGATTCTGGCAAATACACAGTAAAACTGCTAAATGCAGCTGGATCTGCATCTCTGACCCTGAATGTGAGGGTTCTGGATTCACCAGGTCCTCCATCCCATATTACAGTCAAAGATGTGACCAAGACGTCTGCCACTGTTACCTGGGACATCCCTGAAAATGAGGGAGGGGCCCCTGTAAAAATGTACCATTTAGACATACGTGACATTGGCAGACAAGGCTGGAAAAGACTCACAGACAAATGCCGCAGATTGTCCTACAGGGTGTCTGACCTGGAGGAAGGAGGAATTTACTTCTTCAGAGTGACTGCTGAAAATGAATATGGCATTGGGGTTCCAGCTGAGACCAAAGAAGGAACTAAACTGAGAGGTATAATATCACAATGATAAACATATCCTTTTACCTGAATGTTATTCTAGATGTTACTTTGACGTTACTGTCTTTATGTTTTTTTTCAGATTCTGCAGAATGGGAGACAAACCCAGGAGCTTAGCTTGTTTCCTTTTAACTGTCTGAATAACATTGGTTAATAAGCTGACACCATCTGCATTTATTTCTGATATGCCATATGTTCAATTATTTCTGATTGTATTTTTTGTTAGAAATAAGTTATTAAGTTGAAACCTGAATACAATGGAAAACATTTTTTGTCAATGAAAGCATTTCCAATAACTTCTGGAAAACTTCCTTTTTTTAACTTCCTTTTTTTAAGAGTATAATGAATGGTAGATTTGTTTTTAAATAGAATTAAATGCTGCTGTTGCTGTTTTTTTTAAATCAAATGACAAGAAATCAAATTGAAGGAGTTCAGTTTTTTGGTGGAAAAGTAACCAAATCAGTAACTAGATTAAAGAGATACTAAGATAGATACTGAACTGTCTAAAGAGAGGTAAAATGTTAGGTTATAAAGTATTTTATGGGGTGACTGACTATCTGGCCAATAAATCATTAAAAACTCCTGCATGTTTGTTATGTGTGCAAACAAGCAATGTATTCTCAGCAAAAGGATATAATTATTGAATAAAACAAATAAGCAAACAAATTCCACCCAATTAAACTGCTACCCTCCTAACATAGATTATTTTCAGGGCAGGAAAAGTAATAACAGATCCCTGTTATTTAACCTGTGGTTGCATTTCCTCATTTGTTTTCATCAAAGTAAGTTATTCAAATCTTAATGAAAGCAATGTAATGATGTCTCCCTGTGAAATGGAAACTGAGTGGAAATTGTATTACCTAAATAAACAAACAAGACAATAAAATAGATACATACAAAGTATTGTTAGTATGAATATACAACAAACATACAGGGAAACACTCTGAAGTTACCACACCAGAGGTATTGCTTAATAATGAACACAAATGAAAGTTAAAGGATAGGTCAAATATCCTTTATGTTTTGCTTGATGAATTTGCCAACCAAACATAAAACCGAACATAAACAGGAAAATACTTTCAGTTTAGTCTCGAGACGCTGTCCAAACCAGACCCGTCTCAGCCTAATGTAACTACGTCACTATGGAAACGATACTTTTTGACACCACTGAAGAGCGGGGAGGAGCGCGGCGGAAACCGGAAGCAGTGCAAAACTCTTCAGCCGTGTTGCGCCTCTCCAAGTAACTTTTTACAAAAACAAAAGGGAATACTCGACGCGGAGAGTTCGATATGGGAACTACGGCAAGTCAGCTCGGGAAGGACTTGTTGTCAGAATACCAAGTAAGTGTTCACAGTCGTGTTTCGTGTTTTCACTGACATTAACCGAGCGGTTTGAACCAACTCCCAAACGTAAAAGAAAGACCATAACGTTTAGTGGTATACAGCACTGTTGGGGCCTAGTAATTTTAAACACTTTTTTGTGTATTTATTTTAAACTAAGCGTAAAGTCACATGTAACTAAGTTTAATATGACAGTTCCGGGAAAAAGTGATGGTTGTCTTTCTAAAATCCCATGTCTATTTGTAGGAGCTGACCTTCCTGACTAAACAAGAAATACTCCTGTAAGTGGCGAGTTATGTCCAAGGTAGGGCCAAATAATAACTCTGTTTATTGTGATATATAACGTCTGGCTTTTGTTTTTTTTAAGTGCTCACAAGAGATTCACAGAACTGCTCCCTAAAGAGGAGAAAAATCTTCCAGATACAAGAGTACCAATGGAAAGGATTCTTACTCTGCCTGAACTTAAGGTAACAAGACACATTTTACAGTAAGATTGAGGAAATATGTGGTGATTTTTTTGTGTGTGTGTGTGGGTGGGTGGGGGGTTGGAGGTGGAGGCTGCTGATGTACTGACCCTTGTTTGTGTTCCTACTCCAGTCCAATCCTTTCAGTAAAAGAATTTGCAATGTGTTCTCAACATCTGAACGAAAAGATGGAAGCCTCAGCTTTGAAGACTTCCTGGATCTTTTGAGTGCCTTCAGTGACTCTGCCACCCTGGAGATCAAATCCCACTATGCATTTCGTATATTTGGTAAATAATGATAGTAAAATATGAGGGCCAATTTTTTGTGTTTGAGTGTCAGTAGTGTGATGACCACTTTGACGTTTTTAGACTTTGATGATGATGGCACCCTTGATTATGGAGATCTGGAGAAGCTGGTTAACTGCTTGACTGGTGAGACAGAAGAAACAAGGCTAAATGGGGATGAAATGAGACAGCTCATCAACAATGTGAGTTATCTCTAATTTTTTTTTTTACATCAGAGTGTTTGTAGGTACGCTGGCTGGCAGTATAGAACAGATATGTATTGGTGCACCTAATTGTTGATTTCCTTCCTTGTTTTTAGATTCTGGAAGAGTCGGATATTGATAAGGATGGGACTGTGAACCTCTCTGAGTTTCAGCACGTCATTTCAAGATCACCAGATTTTGTCAGGTGATGAGAAATCGCAGTTCATCAGCATGACTTATTACTCTGGAAAGTTTGGCTCATTCTCACAGCTTCTCTTGTTTATTTCTCCACAGTTCTTTCAAGATTGTGCTGTGAAGACTTCTAATGGGCTGTGCAAATGGGTCTCCTTTAATTCCCTTGAACTATGTTTGATTTTATTTGTTTTAATACTTGCCTTAAATTATATTTCTTGAGGATTTTATTATTTTAACTCTTTATGTATCAAAGTATAAAACTCTTTTAAAAATTTGCAAAAGAATAATAAAACAATCACAAAGTACTCAGATCTCTGTCTTGAAACAGTCACATACTAACAATATATTACAAAAGATATTTATTCCCAAGGGTCAAAGTATCTGCTATAATCATTTATGCTTCCTGGTTTGTCCAAAGTTCAGTTTTCCGAGTTTATTTGGGGATTCCATTGTGATTCTATGCTTGAGTACTTCCTCCTTGAACGACAGCAGTAAAAGTGTTCCAGGGTCCACAAACTACATCGACCACATGCAGCTGCTCAACCCTGAAGAACTCCACACGCTGAGGCTCATCTAAACTGTCCAGTGTTTGATGTCCAAGTTGGCCATATTCACCTGAAAGGACAATACAAGGACCGGGGCTCAAAAATATCTCATCATGTCCTCACAGATTGTATGTTGTCAATTTGTAATTAGAATGATAAGAGATATTTTATTTATTCCAAACCTACCCCATCCCCAAGTGTAGAGGTCACCTGTGGCTGAAATCAGACATAAATAATATGATTATGCAATATCATAAAATCCCCTTCTAATGAAATGAATACCACTCATAATCATTTTTAAAAAGCTGTCTTACTTGTCACTGCAGCTGTGTGCCGGGAACCACAGCTGACTGCTCTGAGTTCGCAAGATGGAGTAACATCCAGCAAAGCTGGAAATGCCTGGATTGAAATGAACACTTCTTCATTTTTCTCTCCCTGATATAACTCCTGACCAGATGTGCCCACGTCTTGGCACAGTTGTCCTGTTCAGTGAGAGAAAGCCTTTAGAGAGGACATCACTTTAAAGTGGTTTCAGGGAAAAAGAAAGTTTATATGCAACTGTGACAAACCTGCTTGTTGGTAACTTTTAAGATGCGAAGTTTTCCTCAGACTTCGAGATGGAAGTCCAAGCTGGCCGCTTTCATTCCAGCCCCACACATAAAGATCTCCTCCGTCTGAGGAAAAAAGACCCCACATGCATTTGTTTTAGCATTTAGATAAATGTAGCATTTTAGTAAAGACTCACCACTAATGCAGACCGAGTGCCACCCTCCTGCAGCCACAGAGCTCATGGGCATCCCCCAGAGGGCCTCCACTACCCTGGGCTCCTCTTCAGAAATGAGCCCTCCATGCCCCAACTGACCATGGCTGCCAAAACAGCAGGTGACCACACACGCAGACAAATCAATGGACAAATAAGAGTGGTAGGGTTTAGGTTCTGTTACCAGCCAGTGTTCACCTGCCTACCTGCCTTCTCCCCAAGTGTAGACCCCTCCAGCAGCAGTGAGGAGGACGGCATGCTTCCCAGCCAGTGCCAGGCTCTTGCCTTGCAAGAGAGGTGACAATGAGCGGAAGAAAGGAGGCTTTGAGGATATGTACCCGCCTGGGACCAGAGGCAATTTCACTTCTGCAGCCACAAAAAAAAAAGAGAAGAAAAAAACAAATGATTAAACTGGCCAATTGATACAATTTCATTCTGAAATGTGCCAGCAGTACAAGACACAAATACACATTACCAGAACTCCCGGGGTGGGTGATCATCTCCATAACCCACGATGGAGTTGTATCCTTTCTTTGTAGATCCCAGTATTCTATTCTGTCTGGGAAAGCCAATGCAATATGCGACTCACTGATATAAGCATCTCTACAGCCACGGCTCTCCACCAAACATTCGCTCCGGGACTTATCGGTGATGGGTGATTCAAACCCGGCCAGACAAACACAGCTGTCCCCTGGCAGGAAGGACAGGGAAATATCAGGAGTTGTTGTGTCAATAAAGACCGAGTTCACGGTCGTTTTCAACCTTTAGTGGATTTACAACAGACGCAATAAGTAATTGTTTCTTTTTAAGTGATTACCATCTAAATGAACAGATGCTCTTCGACTCCAACTTGCTCTGATCTGACTAGTCTTCACGCAGCTGCCACTTTCATGAGTATGACCCTTAAGCTCTGTTGGATTCCTCACTTTAACTTCCTTGACTGGGTCCCTTCTTTTGTCTGAACTTGATATTTCCTGTACACATATTTGTCCAAAAGCGTTGAAGCCGAACGCAAACCAGCGCATTTCCCCCTGTTTTCACGCCGTCATGGGTCGCACTTGTGCTGTGTCGCGCGGTGCAGTTGTCAGCAACACTGAACACGTAGTAACGCACAAGGAAGTCCTGCGCATGCGCCGTTACATTTCTTTACGAACGCCGAGCCCGGCTACCTTGTGAAGTTCAAAACATGTGAACGGACGTACACATTTTGAAAACATTTAAAAAAAAACGTTTATTCTGTTTCCCATCAAAATGATAAACACAGCAGACCATTCATATACCAAAATGGGAATGTAGTGAAACAACACTAACGTTTACAATAATAGATGCTAAAAAGACAAACGATCAAAACATGATGTTGTGAATTTGTGGTTTAACTGGTAAAGGGAAATCATTAAGAAACAAAAATAACATAGTGTCTAAAGTTGAAATGAAAGACAATATATTTCTCTGAATAAAAAGGACAGAGGACAAAATATTTCAACAATCAATGTCAAACATTGCCTAGAAATGGGTTCAGATCAGTTATTGGTTACCCATTGGAATGTAGATTCTTGGATGAAGAATACAAGCACACAAAGAATGTCATAATATTTGTCATAGTACACTTTGAACGCATAGCCATAAGATCATGACCACCAATATATTAAAAGCTGAGTGCTCAGGGTGAGGAAAAGCACATCTGAGGACCATATGGAGTGTGTGTGGTAATGAGACATTCGCAATAGGTCTTTGTTGCCCTGGCATTATATTGGGGCCATTGTGTATTGGGCTTAGTTCCCTCTAATTTCATCTGATCAGATTTGTATTTAGGGATAGGGGAGGAAGGAGGAACCACTTTGACACTTTATTTAATTTTCTGGACCTATTGTTGCCCTGTGTAGCTACTCTAGCTGTCATATGTGGTTCAGTAAAGTATGAATGTGAGTGTGAATACCAGGATGCAGGTTTCCTCAGTTTTAACACAATGATACTGATCTGTCTGCAGTTTTATTACTACAGCTGATCAGTTCATGTGTTTGCAGAAATTTTAAATCGAAGTTTACGATTTATCTTGTTTGTTAAGACACGTTTCAACTTCATTAATCAAAAATAATTTCTGAAACACATAACATCTCAAAGAGGCACATCCATGAACTGCTTCTGCGTTTTCAGGGCTCAGTTCCTTTGCTCCTTTCCCTCCCCTCCCCGCTTCTAATGATGCCATATTCTACTGCTTTATCCAGACAGTTCTGGGCAACCTTGGAAATTTGATCTGGTGTGCCATTTCCTCCCTTTGCAAGCACAGAAAGAATCTCCAAAGCTTCGCTCTCCATGAGCGTCTCGGCCAAACTTTTCTCTGCTTGCATCATATTCTGAACTATGACCACTCCGCGATGGCGTAGGTCAGATATTTCACAGAGTAGCAGGGACTGCAAAATCTCCAGCCAATGGGTTGTCTGAGAAGAGAGGGTAAAACAGAGCTGTGAGCTTCAGAAGAATAAAAAGAAATAGCAGTATGTGAAAATTCTGCTCCTTACAGTTCCTGGGATGCGAGCACAGAGCTCAGGTTGTTCAGAAGTCAGCATGGCCAGAGTCCCTGCAGCAGCTTTACGAAGCCTTTCGTCCTCTTCACCGCTGTAAAGTACAAGTAGTTTCAGCCGATCATTCCCTGTGGCCAAGTAAAGCTTCTGCACCTGAGGACACACCACATTTTGGTAAGTTAAACTGTTCTACAGATTTATTCAGATTTTTTATGGTAAATATATGTCTTACCTCTGTACTTAAAACCAAATTACACATGCACTCTGTGGCCGATGCTCTAACAAGGTCGTGCTCTTCAAACATGTAGCCTTCGATTTTTGGGATAGCTTTTTCCTTGATTAGCTTTTGTCTATGAAAGAAAAAGAAAATAACTTTTATGAAGGTATGATAATTAGATTGGGTAATTCATGCATTGAAAGACAAGATGTAAAGTGAGATAAAACTTTTTGTATGATAAAAACAGCCTGCTGTTGGTTATTCTTATGGATACACTGCCCCCTGCTGGCTGACCTGAGTCTTTCACTGATGCCAGCCAAGTTGGTGAGAGCCATCAGTGCCTCGAAGTTCTGCAGCAACGTACACTCCAGACTCAAGAGGTGTACAAGTGGTCGGACCACCTCATAGATCTGCAAACAATATGCAAGGGCATATTAAATAATGAAATGTATTTACATCGCTCTGTATTACTGCCTGCATGTTTACCCTCTCTCCCGGAAAGGCCATCTCAGGGTTGGATGTGATGGATATTTTTGCCAGGGCTTGTGAAGCTTTGACTTTTCCTACATCTGTGTTCTCAGTTGCAAGTGGGATCAAAGCCTTTGAACAAGAACATAAATAATTACCCTTATGATCAGAGTGAAAGACTCAACATGAGCATTTTTCAGGATGGTATACCTTCCCCCCACCCTGGGCCACTACTGTTCCTCTGTCTTCCTGCCGTTCCACCAATGCCAGGAACACCCTGTTGTGATAAAAGTTGTTAATCAGAAACTATGATTGGTCTCATAGTCATTGATAACACTAACTACTCATCTTCTTACCTCGCAATGCACTCCTTACAAGCCTCAGTGAGTGCAGGACTCTCCTGTTTGACCATACACACCAATGCTGACACAACCCCAGCTTCCAGTAGCTTGACCAGCCTTTTCTCAACATAAGAAGGTGCATCCTGACATGAAAGACACACACAGATTCAAGCAAAAATAATCCCTCTTCAAATAAGAAAATATGGAATTTATAAAACCTGAAGACCCAGGTGGAGGTTTTGGTAGTAAAAATAAATCACCTTTACCATAGATATTTTGTAATACTGACTTTAAATGAAAAAGAGGCTTGAAAGGTACCTTTGGATGCTCCTCAGGAACATGCTGCTTTGCATACTTGGCCAGCTCCACCATTTGTGCGTCTGGCTTCTCCACGTCATAGCTGTTTGTGCAGTTCACTAATGTAGAGCCCACAGCGAAGAGCACCGTTTTATCTTCAGACTGCAGAAACAAACAAACATTTATCCCAACAAAAAAAAGCAGGAATACATGTTGAGAGCACCGTTATAGTTGTTGATTTTACAGACTAAAACAGATCTGCATCTTGTTTTCTGTTTGCTCTGTAAGTATCAAAAATAAATCTCACAAATTCAACGATCATTTATACCTTTGCTAGTTCAAACATGCCCTGGAGAGCATTCTTGTCTTCCACCAAGTCTTCCTTCACATCAGCATCAAAGGTGAGGTAAGCGAGACCTTCCACAGACCAGCGGCGTGAAGTTGGGGGCAGAGACTCATTACACAGCCATCTGAAAGAACAAGATACAAAGCATTTCTCTTACTATGTACCCAAGGATCCATGTATCCAGCCAGATCAGGAGTAACACTTGGTTCTGAAGCTATCCAAAGTTCTAAATTCTGTAACCGTACTTCCTGCACTGCTTGGCGAGCTTCAGAGTGGATCCCTCAGCAAACTGCTTCATGCTGAAATCTGTCCCTCCTGCCGATCCAAGCTTACACAAACCCTAGAAAATAATCCAAACTGGTTCAGTTACTTTCATCATTAACAAAGTATTATTTTCCAACACTCTTTGCAGCACTCACCACAAGAGCTCTCACACGTATCCTGTCATTCTCGCTCTTCTTATAGAGGTCCTTCAGAAGGGCCACGCCATTGGCTGTGATGAAGGAGGCTCTCTTGGCTTTACCTGCAGCATGGATGAGAGCCTCCACTGCTACCTGCTGGTGAATGACATCTTCAGAAGCACAGAGAGAGATCACGGCATCCATCATTCCTGACATTTCCAGAGTTCTGTTTCCCACGTCGCTGGGCCCTTGAAGCAGCACCGAGACTGTCTGGATGGCGCGCAGCTTTGCATCGAGACTGTGCTGACTGAAGTGTTCCCTACCGAGAAAACAAAACATAAAAAACTGTTATTTATGATGTGCAGTTTTCTCACTCAGAGTCTTAAACCTTTTTATTCTCATAAAAGATTGTGGTAAAGAGCAAATTTAGTTCATGGTCAACTCACTGAACGTATTCTTCACATAGCTTGTTGAAGTTCTCCCTTTCTTTGTCACTTTTCAGGTCATCATAGAGTTTGCTGAGCAGCACAGAGCAGCTCATGTGACTGTTGTCTGTGAGAGGAGGTCCTTCTGATAGCTCAGGAACAGTTCCGGCCACTTGCAGGATTTTCTTCAGCCCTGAGGGAGAACAGAGTGCTCAGAAGTCTGGCTGAAGTTACCGCAGACACAACCTACATGTTTCTAAAACATTTCATTCTAATGTAATAGGTCCAGATAAAAGGAGAGGGTGGTTTCTTTTTAACAGCACTCGGATGAGATTAATATTTAATGGCATACAATTGTGTCTCATACCTTGGTCGATCACCCATAATGTGAGGGAGTTGTCAGGGTTTTTTAAGGACTTGCGGGGAACTTGTTTGACCAGAAGGTTGATGGCGCTGTCTCTGCCTGGCCCCGACACATTAGATGAAGGCATCATTTCCAAAAGGTGCCGTAACATTGAACGTAGCTCCTTGGATGGCTCTGTGTAAAATTCAGGAGAATTACCCCAGAGAACTGACATGCACACTATGAAAAAACAAGTATTATTGATCAACCTACATGAGGGTTGCCAAGTTCAAATATAAACAGCATTAGTGTCCAAACTCACCAGGAAGTATGGCTTCATCCTTGCCTCTAATCTCTCTTTTCATGCCCTCTGTAAGAGCCTCGAACATCACCTGCAGTAGGTGGCAGGCAGCCAAAGACACAGTGGTGGCTCCGGACCCCATTACAGCACACAGCTGGTCCATTCCCAGCTCATTCACTATAGCCATGGTCTGGGAGCAAAACAGTGGATGTCAGCAATATAAAGTGACTCCACTTGTTTAAGGGTTACAAGCACTCCTGGATATATGTCGAGTTTACCTGCTTATAAACTGTTATAGAGACTATAAGATAAAAACACAAGGCATACAACCTGATAGGAACTGAAGACGTGTTACGGTTATCTTACTGCTACTATACATTCATTTTATACTTGTAAAGAATACTAATAATTAAAAAAAAAAAAGAAAAAATGGTTACAATTAACTTTTGAGGAGATTTTCAAACTTACTCTTGACTGATGTCCTGTGCACAACCCCACTAAGGTCCTGAGAGCAGAAAGGACGATATCCTCTTGCTTCGTCTGGATAAGCTTCTGAATAAGCTTCACTCCATCGTTGCGGAAGATCTGTTCAGCTCCTGCTTCATCTCGAGATAAAACCACCAGATTCTGTGCTGCCTGAAATGAATCAAAGAAAAGCATTACTGCTTTACAGATCTATATACCAAGAGTGAATCGTAAAGATCAGTCTGGCAATAGGTGCCATCCTTACCTTCTGTCGTGCCGTGTCTGTCTCTGAAGCATCTAAGAGGAGGGAGAACATTTGCTGTACACGAGCGTCGGTGGAGCTCAGCTGAGCAGACTGAAGGGTTTGGACAAAAAACATTTACTAGCAGCTGTTTCATCAGGATTCAGATTCAGACATAACACAAACAGCAATGAATTAATGTCACATTACTTTTTGCTGAATCTGTGCTCCAAGTTGCCTGAGTAGATCCTGGAAAGCTCTGTTTTTGGTCTCCAGCTGGGCACATCTCTGAGCATCAAGAAAGGCCTGGTCAAGCCGGCCAAGTTTCTGAAAAGCCTGAGCCCTCCGAAACCTTGCTTTCACGTCACCTGGGTCAGTATCGAGGGCTGAAAAGAGGGAAAACAGCTTTAACATTTACTAAAGCTTTGAATATTAAACCTTCAACTAGTCATATATACTAATGATGATACCAGTTATCTCAGAAACATTTGCTGGTTATTAGGAGCCCTAGTTGTCATTTTAATTGTACTAACTTACTTTGGTAAGAGTAATTTCTGTACAAAACATCTATTTGTTTGTGTAAGCACAATCTAAACAATCTGAACATCACAAAGGAGTGATTTATACTGAAGCAAATTAACGAACGGCTTTTGACTTTTAATGGGGTATCTTCCGGACCTGTTTTCTAATAAAAGAACGGACTGTTAACACATCTGATCAGCAGCAACCCACCTTTGGAGGCATCAGCCTCCGCTTTGCTGTAGTCCTCCAGTTTAAGGTAGCAGGCAGAGCGGTTTCGGTACAGCACACCACTGTCTGTCTGGCTGTCAGATAGTTTCAATGCTTTGGTGTAACAACATACAGCGCCCTGCATGTCTCCTGCTTTGAAAAGACTGTTCCCCTCCTCTCTCAGGGCTGCAGCGCTCTGAATGAAGGAGAATAGTTCAGCAACAAGCTCCGTGGATGAAGCAAACCTTGTACAAATGTCATGGCTTCTCTAAAGATACTCAAAACGGCTTACCTTTTCTTTATCACCTTCACTCATCTTTAGTTTGATACACACAACAGAAGTAAACTCAATATGATTGATAAGTTATTAAACAACACTAACTTGGCAAAAAGGACGCTAACTTCAGTTAAACATGTTACATTTGTTTTTACGTTTCCGGGTGTCAGCAGCACGTTGATGACGTGGCGCAGAAGCCACGCCCTTCCCCTCTACGCTGCGTGACCATAAAAGGTATAGAGCAACCAAATCATCTCCGGCTCCATCTTTTCTTTATTTGGTTACATTTCCATTCCCATACGTTTTTCAGTCTACACACACACACACACAGTCACATTAAGCTCATAAAAAGACAAGAAAAGGCATGTTTTAAAAGAATTCATTCGGCTGTTGGATGCTTCAAATAGTCTCAAAGCAATAATAGTTTAACATGAGCTCTTTATAAATAGTCATATAAACATTTTCTTATGATGGGAGGTTGAGAAAGGACAGCATTTTTATGGTGAAGTAATATAGTAAAATAAAAAAACTGCTCCGATAAAGTTGAGGAAATCGAAAATGTCACATGTTAACAAATCAAATTAATCAAAAAGATAATTGAACAACAAAAATAACTTATGCTTTACATAAAGTCTAAACACTGAAAATCAAGATGAATATGCTAATGTAGAGTATATAGTCCACACCAAGCAGTACGCTTTGTGTATGTTGCAGTAGAACTGGAGAGTTTAAAACCACTGACAAGATTGTCCTGTTCAGTGCTTCCCATATAATCCCCTTGGGAACATTCTCTTTCGTTCCATTGTTGCTTGTCCTCAGTTCCCTGGGAGACAAGGCCATCCCTATTGGAACTTGCATTCAGGTACACCAGTTTAAACTATCATATTACCATGGCAGTTTTGTTAATTGAGGAGGATATCCAGCCAGGATAGTTGGAGGATCTTTTCTTGTGGCTGTGCTTTTTGTAACAGCTCATGCATAACAGACCTGCTGGATATCAATGAGGCTCAGTGACAGCATGGGGGACTCCAGGAAAGGAGCTCTAAAAATCTCAAAATCAAAAGCAGCTGTGTAAACATTGATCTCTTCTCAACACTGTGTTTTGTGAGATACAATTCTGTCATCACCGGTATATTTACAAGAGCCAAATCTAAATACACTGCTACAGACCTGTACCAGTACACCTTGACTGTGTTTGTAGATCTCATTGAAGGTTGTCATTCTCCTGTTACTGGGCTACACCAAAACCCTTCCACCTGATCCTTTCTCTCCACACACAGCAAGACAATGAATTACTGAGGTGTTCTTTTGATTTCTGATTTCAGAAAAAAAGAATGCGTTCCTGGCTAAGCCATACAAAAACAAAACTCTATTATTTTACAGAAATTAACACTTTGAAGGCTACACTTGTGATTTAGTCTTAGATTGTATTTCTGTTGGCAAGAAACTCAGAAAAGAAAATTAGAAATGCTTCTGTTATACAAGTTTTGTTCCATGTTTGTAGTGAGCAACTAGCACTGAAAACCACATACTGTGCCTGATACAAATTAGACAGTTGGCTTTTTTTTTAATGTAGTATGTACAAGTCATATTTATTTCTTAATGGCATTCATTATTTAAATATTTGAAAGAATATGGTCTGTTGGTTTGTTGTTTGATTCAGAGGAAACCAAATATTACTCAAATATTTCTAACTGGTAAATTATTATTTTCCAAACGTAAAACTTTTTCTTATTTCATTCCTCAATACACATTCATTTATTTATGAACTCGTGTCGCATTGCAGACGCTCACTCGCATGTACAGGTCCTGAAATTAAAGGCTGGCGCATACAGAGTGGGACCTGCTCAGGCTGGTGGTCAATCAGCAGCGGATGCGCAGCTCCTCACTTCCCATAAGGCTTTGCAGCACCTCAGCGTTGCTAACGGCTAAGCTAAATGTGCTAGTTCAGTAGGTAATCTGTCAGCCAGGAGCTGGGAGCACGTACACTGCTGGTCTCTGTACTATCCGGAGTTCTGCCCCTTGATGGGTAATGTCTGACTCTTTTCTTTTGTTCACATGGGAACGGCGTCTTTAGGTCATGCCCGAATATTGGTCGATAATTAAGTAGAAAGTAAATGGTTCGGATGTAAATATCAGCCACGTATTGTCCTAGTGTTGTCAAGCCAATATTGCTGTCGTCTGTAACGTTTAACACATCTGTCGCGAGGACAAAGGCAGCTGTTTAAGTAGTGTAATCACTTCGTAGTTTTCTCTTCTTATTAACTCTTGAACCACATTTACAAACCAGTCGACGTGAAGCAAGTTAATGGTGCTTGTATGTAGCTAGCGCTAGCTTGTTTAGCTGCATTCTTGTTACATCTAGTGTTAATTAATGTTTAGGTAACTGGTGTTATTAAAGTTTGACAAAATGCTCACTGGCAGGTAATGAAGCTAAGGGCGTCTTATAGTTTTCACCGACGACCTGTTTAATCATGAAAATTAGTTCAAATAACAGTGTGCTTGTTTGAAGAAACCCAGTATCGCCTGGCTAGAAGCCAAGAGATAGTGAAACATTGACAGATGTCACCCTTGGGTCAGTAACCCGAAGCAAACTATTTAAGGGAATGTGATATTTCGCCCGTCACTGACGCAGAGAATGAGTTGGACTGTTAATGCAAACAGTTTGCTATCATATGAGCAGCTTAGGATCAGTTGGACCTTTTGTATTTTGTCATGAATGCAGAGCTGTACCCGTTGGTTCCGTCACGCAGATCAGCATCAAAGCTTTCTATGCGGGTGTTTTAGCTCAGATGCTCTGAGAAGTAATCTTCCTCCTGCTGACATTTAGACTGTTTTTCTGCCACTCGTAGTCAATGTAAGTGCCAAGTTATTATCTCAACTCCCTGTGGTAAGGCTAAGATGGTCCCAGCCTAGGAAGAGAGCGGATTATGTCCACGGATTTACACACAGAGGAAAATGTGAACACCTATTATAGGGAGCACAGGACACTGTTATCCACTGCATTTCCTGTTCATTAGTGTACTTGCTTTACATGTCAGAGAATCTTCCACTTTTACCTCATGTGATCAAATGGTCTGTGCCTTGTAAGGATAGTCTCTTTTCATTGTTTACATTTATCTAAATGTTCCCAACAGCTCAAGAGGACCCCAGTGCTATTTAAGTTGGCACTTGTGATCAAGGACAGATGCATTGCCCATGTTGCAACAGATGATACACCATCACCATGCCACTGAGAGAAGAATGACATTTGTCTCATTTTAATTCCTGGAGCGGCTTTGGGCAGAGTTTAGACTTGATTAAAAAGCGGCTTCTACTCTGTGCCAAATTGGTCTTTGTCTCAGTCTGCTCCTTTGCACTGCCGCTGTCCATTTGCAGACTGTTAAGGCACAGGAGGCAAAGTGAGCAAAAGGATACTGTCTCTGGCTGCACTGGGGGATTTGCCTTTGCTGTAGGAGTGGGCACTTGTCAGGAGAGCCGGCCTACAGCAATGTACATCATGCTCCAGGGACACTAGGCTCCCTGTTTGAGTTCCTTCTTTGTGGAGTTTTTCTTTCTTTTTTTTTTGCTATCTCTTCAATTTGGATGGTTGAGTACAAGGGCCACTTTGAAGGAGACCACCGGTGGCTGTGGTTTGGCCAGGGTTGCCAGACTTCTTGCCAGCTATTAATGATTTAGTACCTTTCTCCACCACTACCACTGCTACAACCTCCATCACCGTGGTCTCCAGTATGGTGAAAGGAGGCTGCAGGGATCACAGGAGTGGGACTAAGCTTTTCATACTAGCATAGTTACTTATTTGCACTGTGAAGGATTTCATTCCAGCTTTCTTGGAGCTTCTTTTTTTCCCCTTAGAGGTAAAAACGAAAAGCTCAGTCATTTTTTAATTATTTAGTTTTTCAGATATTTTCATTCTTGAGAAAATTTAAATCTGGCAAAGAAGACAGCACCAGAGGAGAATGAAGCTGAGGAAACAGGTGACAGTGTGTGGAGGGGCCATATTCTGTGTGGCTGTGTTCTCACTCTATCTGATGTTGGATCGAGTCCAACATGACCCTGCAAGGCGACAAAACGGAGGGAACTTTCCACGGGTAAGAAGCTGTATTGGCAGCACATCTTTCCTTTGACATCCCTTTTCTGCACTGATTTTTAGAGCAGTTTCTGTATTTTTATTCTTTTTTATTTTGATGATACCCAAAGAGTTGCAACACATCATAAACATCTTTCCATCTCTAATGCTTGCTGTCTGATTAGCAATATATATATATATATATATATTCTTTTTAGATCATATAATACCAGGACTAGTAAAAACGTATAGTTTTGAACCGGTACATACACATAAAACGGACCCAAATCATGAATTTATTTTTAAATAATTTCAAGTATTCTGAGTGCAACATTTTGAATCTTCTGTCCTTTAGATACACTTGCTAAATACTCTGAATTCTAGCTTTGGAATAGTTTTTTTTTAAAGAAATGAGACTGACAGTTATATTTAGGGTTTAGAGCTGTGTGATTTATTGTTATTTCTCTGGTCTCTGTAAGAGCCAAATTTCAGTTCTGCAGAACCGGATAGAGCAGCTGGAACAGCTCCTGGAGGAAAACCATCAAATCATCAGCCACATAAAGGACTCTGTGATGGAGCTCACGGACACAGGAGCAGTGTCTCCCAGTGGCCACCTGCCATTTAGAAGTGCCAACGGTTCCTGGGTGCTGCCGTTTGACGGCCGCCCCTCTTTCCTCTCTGTCAAGCCCCAGGATTGCCAGTTTGCTTCAAGCACACGTGGGCAAGCAGACGTTCAGGTTAAAAAGCCACACAGCAGAATCAGATCAAAGTGCCTAAGCAAACTGACTATATAGGTTTTTGAAACTACACTGTTGTTGTATTCTTATTTGGGCGCCTACTAATGTGCAGTTACTTAATTTTAGATGCTGGATGTTTATTCCCTTCTGAAGTTTGACAATCCTGATGGAGGCGTATGGAAACAGGGCTTTGACATTAGTTATGAGCCTGATGAGTGGGACAAGGAACCACTTCAAGTATTTGTTGTCCCTCATTCTCACAATGATCCAGGTGAGTTATGCGGCCTTTGTTAAACTTTGTTTGAGAAGTGTCATCTCTTGTTTGTATTTAGGATATGAAGTACATTTCTTGAAGCCTTTATGAGTGGGAGAGTAGTTAGGGAGATGCATAGCTCATTCAAAACTTGAGCCATCTATTGTTATTTTTATCAGCTTAATGTCATCTTGATTGAATGTTTGGTTGCAAACAATTGAATTAGGATGATATTGTCACTGGAAACTGTTACTATTTGTAGACAATATTGGCCCAAAAAAAAGGCTTTTCATTACATTTGTTTGCCAGAGTGTGATATGTATTTCCTAACTTGACAGTTATTGATATGATGACGGGTTACTGAGATCTGGAAAATATAAAATAAGTGTATTATCTGTGTGGATAGACTTCATCTCTAGCAGCAGCTTTCTAAACAACTTTATATGCAGCATCAACATTTTGTTTCTTTTCCTCAAAACCGTGTTTTGAGCTTGAAGCTAAGATGAATATTTTACGTATTGTTCACTGGATGCAATACATTGCACCTCTGTGCATTCAAAATGCTGAAGGAAGGCTCTGTTTGGCAGCATTCTGAGGGGACCGACTTGTTAAATAAAATATGAGTTTATTTTTGACCAGTTGCAGTAGAATTTTGCGGGATTGAGCCCTTTCACCTCTCCATCCTCTACATGTTGAAACTGTCTGCTTTAGGGTGGCAGACGTCAGAGTTAGTGATTTGTTTGCTGGTGGTTGTGTAGATTGTTTAGTTTTGACCTTCTGCGTTGTTAGGTTGGATCAAGACTTTTGACAAGTACTTCACAGACCAGACGCAGCATATTTTGAACAACATGGTGGTGAAGCTGGCTGAGGATCCTCGCAGGAAGTTCATCTGGTCTGAGATTTCATTCTTCTCCAAGTGGTGGGAAACCGCAGATGCACACAAACAGGAGGCCATGCGCAAGTGAGTCAAAGCTTTGTGAAGGATGAAGTATTGCCAATTACCCCCCCTTCCAACTTTTGATGCAGACAGGCTCCATGGCAGTATTTTTTACACAGTGGGTGGTATCTGCTAGCAGACTGCCGAACCTCTGAAAATAGCTTATCTGGTTAATGTGACCCGCTCTCTTTAGAGTTGGATTATCCTCACCTTGCTGTCTTAATCCTTTTTTTTTCAACAGGCTGATCCTCGGAGGACAGCTAGAGATTGTGACAGGCGGCTGGGTGATGACGGATGAAGCCAATGTTCACTACTTTGCCATGATAGACCAGCTCATTGAAGGGCATCAGTGGTTAGAGAGAAATCTAGGTACAAATTCCTTCTGAAATGAATTCTTCTTCAAGTGCTTTGATTTATATTCAGAGGAGGGATTGGGAAATGCATAAGAGGCTCTACTCTGTCAGGGAAGCTTCAGGACTTTGACTCCACACCATTCTAAATTATACCACTCCTAACAGTGCACGATAATGAAATTGAACCTTGCCGTCCTACGTGCAGCAGATGTAGCGTTTCACTCGGCGGGGGATAAAATGATTTGTCGTACTTTAGTGCATCCTGCTGTGGAGAGTGATTCTAAAATTGCTCTCCCATTTTATACGGGCATACATCTAAACTACTTGCTTCCTGCTTGTGGTCATAGGTATAACTCCTCGCAGTGGGTGGGCTGTAGACCCCTTCGGTCACAGTGCCACTATGCCCTATCTGCTGAAGAGGGCCAACCTGACCAGCATGCTCATCCAGAGGGTCCACTACTCCATTAAAAAACACTTTGCCTCCACCCGCAACCTGGAGTTTATGTGGAGGCAGGCATGGGGTGAGTGGAGCTGCTGGTTATCCTGATCGACTTGCTCATCTTTAAACTCATTGAAGGATGAGTCAAGCATTTTTGCCTTCACAACTGAAAGAGAGAGGAATTTTGGAGCTACACTGCAATGACCTCAGATGAGCTGTCCTCATTATCGTTTCTGAATTTACTGAAGGCCTGCCAAAGATGTGCTGCTCTTTTTCTCAGTTTGGGATTATTTTAGTACAATAATGAACCATTTGTATTGCTTTATCCTGAACTTTTGAACATGTCCTGAGCACTCACCCCCTTTTTTAGTATTTTTTTTTAGATTGCAGTGTTTATTACCATTAACAGTCCAAACATGTTTGTTTTTTTGCACGGGCTGTCATTTGCCTCAACAGACACTGGGTCAAGCACCGATATGTTTTGCCACATGATGCCATTCTATAGCTACGATGTGCCTCACACCTGTGGGCCTGATCCAAAGATCTGCTGCCAGTTTGACTTCAAGCGATTACCAGGAGGCCGGATTAACTGTCCCTGGAAAGTTCCCCCTAAATCAGTGGTAGAGGCCAATGTGGCAGAGAGGTGAGCGTTTACTTGTCTGATCATAGGAATGTTAGAATCTTAAACTGTCCTACAAGAAATTGGTGTGGTGAGAATTCTTACTTCCTTTGTTGATTTAAAAAAAAAAAAAAAAAAACAGTAAAAAAAAAAACCCAGTAAAGTATTGGTCAGGGTGTAATCTCTGAACTATGTCTGAGTGTTAGTGTGGATTTGGTATTCTGTTCAGGCAACTCTCACTGCTGTTGCGACTTTGTGTTTTCTGTAATGGCTACTTAATAAACTCAACTTGAACCCGTGCCAGTGACAACAGCCAGAGAGTGCGAATGAACTCAGGGAGGCTTGAACTGCCTGCAGTTGTGGACTCACATTAAGAAGCTTTTAGAGGATTTTTCTGTTGAAAACGCCTCGAGGGCTGTTTGATCTTTATCTTTGTGGGGTTTATTGTTTATTCTTTAGTTTCAAACTAAGCTGGCATTTTCCAGCCCTCCTGGTCTTTCTTCTTTCTGATGTGCTTCCCTCTTATGCAGGGCACAGCTGCTCCTGGATCAGTACCGTAAAAAGTCCAAACTCTACCGTTCCAAGGTGCTTCTGGTTCCTCTGGGAGACGACTTCCGCTATGACAAAGCCCTGGAGTGGGATCAGCAGTACATAAATTATCAGAAGTTGTTTGACTACATGAATTCTCACCCTGAGCTGCACGTTCAGGTGATGAAAGGATTTTATGGTTGTTGCACAGATCATGTTGGCAAACATTTTATTATCCTCTTATTGTTTTCACGTCCTCAGCTGAAATGGTTCTAAATGTTACAGTAAAATAATTAATCATGCAATTGTATTTTAGCTGTCTGACAAAACAAAGACTCTGTCTTCATTTGATGTCTTATTCAGGACATTGTGTGTAAATCGTAAGATGAAAGGGCCATATGTACCGTAATAAGGACAGGCTTTATTTTCTCTGTTCAGCTCTCAGAGTCAGGGTGCTATTCCCATCCTCATGTGATGTCTTCTTGCCCCTCCAGGCTCAGTTTGGGACTCTGAGTGACTATTTCAGCGCTGTTTACAAAACAAACGGAGTGGCCCAGGGATCCAGACCGGCAGACTTTCCTGTGCTGAGTGGGGATTTCTTTGCTTATGCGGACCGAGAAGACCACTACTGGACTGGTTACTTCACCTCTCGACCCTTTTATAAAAGCATGGACCGAGTGATTGAGTCGCACCTCCGGTAGGATGGTTTCCTCATTCAGAGTTGTTATGTGTTAACATGGAACAATTTTGCAGATTTTCAGTGATTTAAATAAAAATGTAAACTAAACAAAAGTTTAATAAGAGCCGTATTCAGCATTCTGCCCAGTCCTTTTACAGAGACCTTTTACAACATAGCTTTAAACAAAGCTGTTTAATTATTTTAAATATTTTCTACTTTGCATAAAACATTCCAGAGAAACAGATCCACATCGTCCACATTGTGCTCTCAATATCTTATTAACAGAATGTCTTGCTGGCCATATTTAGCAAAGCTTTATCCCATACTGCTTATCACAAAGATGTTGATTGGGTCTTTACTTTTTATTTAAATGGTTTTGTCTTTCAAACATTGAGCAAGATCTGCTACAGAAAAGTCTGACCTCAGCTGTTACTGACCAGAGGAAAGAATGACTCACACCAGAGCTTTAAGTGATAACAGTATATCTCTGTGGTTCAGGGGGGCAGAAATCCTCTACAGCCTGGCAGTGGCAAATGCTCGGCATGCTGGAATGGAGGGACGCTACCCGGTCTCAGATTATGCCCTGCTTGTTGATGCGAGGCGTTCAGTTGGACTTTTCCAGCACCACGACGCCATAACGGGCACTGCGAAAGAAAATGTTGTCATCGACTATGGCACCAAGTAAGAATATGAGTGTTTCAGGAAAAAACACTATGGCACAATAGAATTACACTTCCTTTAAGCCTGGGCAGTGCCATGTTAATGCACCAAAAGGAAATGATAAGCCGTTTCCTTTGACTGCTGTGGTGAGCCTGTCATTCTCTGCCCCCCCCTCCAGATTACTGCGTTCACTCATCGGCTTGAAGAGAGTAATCATCAATGCTGCTCATTTCCTTGTCATGAAGAACAAAGACTTTTATCGTTTTTACCAGACGGAGCCCTTCCTGGAGACGGTGAGAAGAAACTAAAACTGACTCATCTGTCACCATATCATTAACCGAGTGAAAAGAGAACCCTGTAGATATAAGATTTATTTAATATTCAATGTACTTAGTGCGATATATTTGCCGTCTGTAGGATTACAGGCGTGCTACTCAAGATTCTCTGCCTCAGCGCACGCTGATTGAGCTCGACCCGGCAGGACCGAGGTATAACCTTCATCTCTGCACACCTTTCATCTCCTCTGCCTCCACCTGCAGCCTCTCCTCCACCTGCCCGTGCTGAGGATTGCTTTCTCATTCCCTCCACCAGGTACCTGGTTGTGTTTAACCCCGTGGAGCAGGAGCGGCTGTGTGTTGTGACTGTGCTGGTCAACACGGTCAGGGTACGGGTGCTCACTGAGGATGGACAGACCCTCCCTGTGCAGCTGAGTGCTCAGTGGAGCTCTGGGACTCAGATGAGTGCTGAGGTGTTTGAGGTATGACGATCAATTCAATATGCTGCCGGCGTCTGCAGAGCAGAGCACGCTGCTCAGTCCTCTGTGCACTACGCTGGTTGGGTTACACAACAGCGCACTCAGCGATCTGAAAGGCTCAAAACCCAATCTCAAGTCATTATGCTGACACACTTTAGTGGGAGAAGATGCAGAGAAACGCATAGTTAAGATAGATTGTTTGCTGGTAATGCCTGCAGCATACAGAAAACACAACAATGAACAAACGCAAGGCTTCAAAGTTTTTGTTCTCATTTTGTGCATTTTTCAGTCCACGCACAGCTTAACAAAGTTTAGCCAGTAGGCGTTTGGTCGGTGCTTTGAACAAGACAGTAGAAGAATGAAACTTGGTTGGCTTCAGCATGGTTAAACTTAGGAGTGGCTTTTGAAGAATTTTCAGAGTTTTTTCCAGATGTAGTTTCATTTCTGGTGGGAATAAGAGATGTTGATCTTCGCCTTTTACATTCGCACATAGATTTGTTGTTTCAGTTCTTAGCAAAAAAGAAAAAATAGATAGCTCTAATCTTTTAGTCCACATTGTAAACACATTTGTTCCAGTTCATAAATTTTGATTTGCATGGCTCAAATAAAATGTTTTCCACCCACCGGAAGAATTAAGTGCAACACAAAATACCAACACTGTAATTAACACGGCCTTTGTTCCCATTCTAACTACAGCTCTGTTGCAGCTCTGTAATTGCTTTTAATTTTTTAAACGAATGCCTCATGGTCAACACTCGTCGTTTCCAATTAAAAAGGAAAAACAAAGCTGGCGCTTTGCGCAACACGCTTTTCTCAGTTTGTTCAAGTCTTTGTGCTAATTATGATTATTTCTGTCCCACCATCCCTTAATTCCCTGTCCAGGCAACTTTCATGTCTCGCCTTCCACCTCTGGGCCTTGCTGTTTTCCATCTGTACGACTCAGCAGACTCGCCCATGACGCTCCGCTCCGACACCCTGCTCAGGCTGTCTGGCCGGGGCGTATCCGCCCGGGCCTCTGACCCACTGCCTGTCCGCTCTCAGACGTCCGACTCTCAGACCTTCTACATTAGCAGCCAGTCGTTGACTCTGGGCTTCTCCGGAACCACTGGGCTCCTGGAGGTCTGTACACATTATATCTATACAAAGGATTTACCAATCTGCTTAAATTTGGATTTTTCTGAAGGAGAAGGAGCCATGAGGGAACACGGCTGTCTGATCAAAATGTCTTGTTTGCGTCCTCGAAAACACTGTTTTATATATATTTTTTTTCTTCCCAACTCTTGCTTTCGCTCCCTTTTGTTTAATTTTGATTTGCAGAGCATCAAGCGAAAGGACGACCCTCAGGAAGTGAAGGTTCATATGCAGTTCATGGTGTATGGCACACGTGCCTCGAAGGACAAAAGTGGGGCGTACCTCTTCCTGCCTGATGGAAAGGCAAAGGTATTCTTTAATTTGGGTTTCAGCTGAATCTGTCTCTGACGCTTTGATAGAATGTCCCCTGGGTATTGTGAGACTGTATCCTGCTGGGGAGCTTGGGGCAGAAGTGCAGGCGTGTGCCGGCTGCTGCTTTATCTCCTCTGCATTTAAAGAACAAAGCACCGGGGTTTCGTATCCACACTGTATTTGGTTGCCTATTCTGCTCCATTTTTAGCTTCTCTTGTCATGATGACTGCTCTCCGTCACTCTGCTTTCAGCCTTACAACCAGAAAGAACCGCCTGTGGTGCGTGTTGTTGAAGGGCCTCTTTTCTCTGAGGTGGTGGCACACTACCAGCACTTTGAGCAGATCATCCGCATACATAATGTGCCAGGTAGTAAAACACACAAAATGACACAACAGAGTCAGTTCCAAGTGCTTGTGCCTTAGCTTTTTATTTTTGAATGCTCCAGCTGGTACAATATGTCAAGAGCCAATATGCTAAGCAAAAAACAATTAGAACTAGAAAAGGCTGTTACCAAACACAGTGAGAATGCTGAGCTGCTAAATGAATGGCCCATAAGATCATGAAGAAGCAGTTAGCTGGTAAAAGCCTGAAGAGTAGAAGAACAGTATTTAAGGGATTTGGAGAACGTCACAAATGAATGAATAGTCATTCTTAAAGGGTGGCACATATATATATGTGTGTGTGTGTTGATATATATGTGCCAACTTATTGGGAATGTTGAATTGTAAAAGAGAAAAAGTGAAAGCTGAAGACTTTTTTTAAACATAGAGAGGAAGCGTCAAGAAAAAGATCAAATGAGTCACTAGAAAAGGTAAATGGAGAAAAACGGATGGAAGAAATACTCAGAATATAAAATGGCTGCAGGTGAAGAAAGTCAAAGGACAAGTGAGGAGTTGTCCAATATTCTGTCAGAACAGCTGTTTTGTGTGTTTGTGTGTGTGTTTCAGCTGGAACACTTCCTGGGTGTTCCGTCAGTTTTGCTGCCAGGATCAACACCCCTTTGACTTCATGTCAGACTCAGAGCTGGCCAAACATTTTCATTATGTTTGTGTGTTGTTTAAAAACGGCTGAATAAGTAAATTAATAAGTAAATATTGCCTTTAGCTGAGAGTCTGCTGAAGTACAGAGGTTTAAAAAACAAAAACAAAAGGGTTTTTATAGACCAGGAACACTATAGTGAGAATGCTGTACATTATTTGAACTCTTCTCCCCTCTCAGCAGACTTTTGTCAATGCTATTTTTATTGATAGAGGATTTTCCCATTGTCCTCTTTATTTGACACTGTGGCTTAAGTGTGGTTCTCAACGGTTCTGCTGTTCTTCTAGGCTTGGATGGTTTGTCTATAGACATGACCACCACGGTAGACATCAGAGATCAGACCAATAAAGAGCTGGCCATGCGACTTGTCACTGATATTGAGAGTGGGGACGTCTTCTACACGGACCTCAATGGCTTCCAGGTTTGTTTCGGTGCACGTTTGCTTGTATTTCTTAATGTCAGAATATCGCTCATCCGGCCATCTGGTTTTGCAGATTCAGCCTCGTCGATACTACCAAAAGCTTCCCATGCAGGCCAACTTCTACCCCATGCCCAGCCAGGCGTACATCCAGGACGAGCGCCACCGGCTCACGCTGCACACGGCTCAGTCTCTGGGTGTCAGCAGCCTGGAGAGCGGTCAGTCACTCATTCCCTTTGCTTTGACGCTGCTCCTCTTTGATCCGGGACGTTTCCTGCTGAACGTTGGTTTTGAAATGCTCCTCACTTGTCTTTGTTTACTTTTCTTGCCATTCGTGCAGTACAGCTGAAGCACTTGTCTCTCCCTCAAGAGGAGCTTAAAGAGCAGTTTGTGCTCTGAGCTAATCCTTTTATCATCGTTAGGTGGAAACTGCACGGGTTTGCAGATGACGGGCAGATCAAAGTGTTGTGTTTATCGACTGATGCTTCAAAGTTCTATCGGCTGTTTTGCTTTATAGCTGCTTCCCCCTCCAACCCCACAGGCCAACTCGAAGTGATCATGGACCGACGACTGATGCAGGATGATAATCGTGGGCTGGGTCAGGGCCTGAAAGACAACAAGAAGACGACCAACCGTTTCCGACTGCTGCTGGAGAGGAGATCCACCACTAACAAGGTTAACATCATGAGGGCAGTCACTGTTTAAAAATGCTGTTGCGATATCTGTTCATTACATTGGACCGTAAAGTTCCTGAGTGTGAGGAAGCTCAGCTCTTCAGGCTGTTGTTAACACCTCTCCTCACATATTTTCCCCTGTGCTCATTACCACTCCATCTGTCTTTTTGGTTTTCTCTCCTCTTGCTAATTTTGTTTTCCCTCTCTTCTTGTTTCCACTCCATTACCCTCAGCATGATGGCTTCTTTGCCAAACTCTCGTCCTCGTTTCATTCTTTCATCTCTCAAATCTTGAGTGACGGTGTCAGCGAGGTAATGTTGCCTTGGCAACTGCGAGGAAGCTTTTTATCGCATAGCTTAGTCGTATCCATAGTTGTAGCCTTCTTTTTGTGTCCGTCCAGCTCTTAGCCAAAGCCCGACTCCCTCTCTGTAACAGCTCAATTGAGAGAAACTAAATGGTAATCTATAAGGTAAATGAATTCAAGCCAACAGGACGGAAGGCATTGGTTGCAGTTTTATCAGATGAAACTGTGCTTGCCTGCTCCTACACATCATATCTGGATCAGCACAATGCTCCTCATTGGAAATTTGACATCACAAGGGTGTGATTAGTTCTGTGTCTGCCTGGACTAGAATTAGAACCATCTCGTACTCTGACAAAGTAATTATAGCTTGTTCCTCGCGTAGCGTCGGCAGAAGTTTGCCTTTGATGTTGTAATGATTACACTGCCATTGAAATCTCTCTGCCCCCCCCCTGCCCTCCAGATGACGGACAGTGCAACCACTAGTTTCCCGTCTGTTGTCAGTCACATGACCAACGCCATCCTGAACCACGAGGTCCTGGCGCTGCCCGTCGTGCCCAAAAGACGAGGCGTCCCGCCTCTGCAAACCTTCTCCCCGCTCAAGACCAACCTTCCATGTGACTTCCACCTGCTGAACCTGCGCAGCATCCAGAGCCAGGTAAGGCAGATCAGAGGGAAGGAAGTAAGAACATGTTGAAGAGGTCTGAGGGGTAAACTTGTTCTCTGTGTCGGCGTGAGCAGCAGGACTCCCAGGTTCCATCTCCATTCACTGCCTTGATTCTCCATCGGCTGGCGCTGGACTGCGGCTTCGAGGCTCAGAACCTCGGCTTCAACTGCACCACCACACAAGGACAGGTCAGAGCAGGGAGGGGGAAGCGAAGATAAGAGGGAAAAGGAGGCCAGTCGGCCAAACTTTTGTCTTTGTTTGATCATGTGTCTAAGAAGGGATTTTTGGGACTGCATAAATGCATTTTTTTGGTGTTTTTATGTGTCAAATGCAGCTTATTTTGGACCTCTCAGAGGGGGAATTTGAAAGGAAGGTTAATTTTTTTACTCTGTTCTATTTAATTTCCAGTTTTTGTTTGGTTCATAGTGTTTTCTATGCTTCTCAACAGTCGTTAAGACGTGATTTATATACAGAGGACATAAAATACAGTAAAAAGAGCAGCCGTGAAAGAAACTCCAATAAAAAATGATGTCTGTGCTTTCAGTCAGACATTTTACGTCCTTACAGAAAATTTGTGTACATCTTTTTCGTTGTTTCTTTGTATTGATCACATGGCTTTCCTCCTCCCGTGTTTCTCTGCAGCTCAGCGTTTCAGGTCTGTTCAGGAACCTGGACCTGCAGCTGCTGCAGCCCATGTCTCTGACCCTCATGCATTCCAGCTCGCCGCTGGCCAACGACTCCACTGTCTGCCTGGATCCCATGGAGATCTCCGCCTTCAAGCTCAAGCTGCGCTAAGAACCGTCCTGAGAGCAGTAAAAACTCACCAGACTCCTCGGACCAACCACCAAGCCCAAGCCGGCCTCACACACCGGCAACAAGGGAGTCTGGGTCTCTCTGTTAGGCAGAACCACAAACTGGAGCCTGGAGAAGGGCTCTGCTGTAACAGGACTGACTGACAGCAGGGGGCAGAGGATAGCCGGACATGAGAGAGCAGCCAAACCCGGTGAACTTACAGCTTTTCCAAATCAAGAAAAACTTCCAGAATTGTTCCTCAGATACCGGCGAGGGTCTGAGTCTGGAGTCCAGAAAATCTCTCGGTTCTGCTTTGTAAGGACTTCTGTCTTTTGATATCTTTTCTCGAACCCGGACTAAACAACTGAATGTAAATATCCCAACAGATGGTGGTGGGAGGGGGCTGGGTGCCACTTCAGAGTGCAATTTCCAAAGCTTTACTGGGTGGATGGAGATCTTGATTCTTCTGTCTTTCATCAGGAAAAATGAATATCTACATGTTTTTTGTTTTTTTTGTACCGATCACTCTGATGTTGACCGAAGTTAATTTTTTGTTGTTGTTTTTGACAGACTTGAATGCAGCAAAGAGAATGTCTTTGTCTCACCTGGACTTGGCTGCAAATCCTTAAGTTGTCCGATTCCACTTGGGTCACTATGTGATAAGGGTGTGATCATTAATCATGGGGGGAGGGGAGTCCGCCCCTCTTTCCCACTGTTTCTGCTTTTAGATAGTCTGCAGAGTTTCTGTTGTTGCTGCGCGCTTACTTTCGGCTGTTAGGGGAGCTGTAGCGGGTCTCCTGCCTCCTATCGATCATTCCTGCGCTTGGTGAGACGGTGGCTTTGTGTAGCACTCTGTATGCAGTAGGCCAAGACTATACCTCATGTGTACCATCCAGCAGATGTTTTGGTATGTGTGTCTGTATGAGTATGTAAATACGATCTGGCTTTTTTTAAAAGTTTTTTTTTTTGGGGGGGGGGTGAAATAAGGAAGGTCGCATTGTACTTTAGAACAGGCCTGTCTTTCGGGTACTTGATTAATATCTACGTGGAGTTTTGGGTCATATCAGAGCAGCAGAGAGAACTCTACTCTGCTCATCACACCTAAAGGGATCCTCACAAAGACATTCCGGAGTCTGAGCTGACTCCATCTTGTATGGCTTTGTTGGTGCAATTTAAATTTCAAAGTCCAGAAGAGTGAAATTTCTAAATATCTGTAGTAGAACAAAAGCAGAAACCTTCACTTGGGAAGCTGAATGGGTGCTGCTCAGACTCCTGCTCGAGCTGGACTGAATTTCATTCCCATCAAAAACGAACCTGATCCGACCACACTGGGAGGCAGAGAACAGTCTCAGCACCGCAGTGCTTTTCTCTTTTAAAAAAAAAAACCTTTCTTTTTTATTATGATTTATTTTTTACAGCTGCCATCAGGATGTTGTCATCTGTGGCTTCAATGTAGTCCGGACGTCTGTCAGCCCCCATGTGTTGCACTTTGTACTACAGAGCCATCTGATCCCGCCTCCCCTTCCCGGGCCTGCAGCTCCTCTGCCGTCCTCCTCTGGCCTGACGTCTGTCCTGCCAGAGTCCGGAGCTCTGTCTGGTCTCAGGGGGAGCGCGACGGGTCCCCCCCCCACCGGCCGAGGCTCACATCTGTCAGGGCAGACGTCTCCGCGCCTTCAGTTGCACTTTCTCCTGGTGTTTCCACAGCCTTCTCTCCTCCTGTCTCAGTACGTCTGACCGATTTGATTTGTTGTAGCGCTGTTTGTCTTTTCAGAGGTAATATAAGACAGCACAGCCTCTTCTGTGTGGTGAAATAAAGATTACAGATGGGGGGTGGGACGACAACTGAATAAAGGAAAAAAAAAAAAGGATTTTTAAATAGCATCTCCATCATAATCAGTTTTTTTTCCCCAGACTTTTTTTGTGCACGGTTGAACTTGGCATTGTTTGATCTCCAGCTGGCTTAATCCCTGATCAGCAGGGGGCAACGTTGAACCAGCGTGAGCGGCGCAGCCTGTGCGTGCAGATGCTGTCAGATCCATGCCTCACACCGTCCAGAGGCCTGCGTGGCGGCGGACGCCCTCACACGGAGCCTGTCCAGCCAGCCCTGACAGCCCGGTGAGCTTCCGTCTCCAATCACAGACAGGACAGCGCCGCGCGTTAGCAGGGATGTCATTGCACTAAAAAAAGAGAGGCAAAAATAAACAAGGGCGGGGGTTCTTCGCTCAGAATGCATGAGACTTCTCTGAGTGAGTCCAGAGAAGAGATGGCACTGTGCTGAGCATAAACACCTAATGTGTGACCTTCTGTAATGAGACTCAAACAGTGTCCAATTGATCCAAAATGTGAAATCAGCTAATGGCTATCTGATTTGTTAGAGTAATTGATGTAATATTTCTTCTTGTCAAGCCCGGTTACTGGCCAGGACTGTACGGGGGATGAAAGCTGATTAATACAAGCCAGGGGGAAGTGCAGTGCAGAGGACAAATGACAATGTGAATAAGGAGGCAATGGCTCTATTCGCGCAGCAATGAAAATGCAGAGCAGGGTGCATCCACGGGGCGCAGAATCGTGCTGAGACTTCTCCCGGCAGATCTAATTATGGACCACAGAATAAATGCACTTTTACCCATGAACTCAGTTACCTGCAACTTTCCAGAAGAGGTAGATGCTAATGAGGAGAGCCTCAACCAGCGGATTCTGGTTTTCCGGCATGTATTTAAAGCTCCTAATTAAATTCATAGAAACTTTAAGAAGGCCTAGTTGGAGCTTGGGAAGAATAAAAAAAAAAAAAAGTTTCTTGAGGGCTTTTGGCTCACTGCAACTGGGTAAGTGGGAAAAGACAGAATGCTGGCACCCCGTTAAAGCCCAACTGTAGAAGTGAAGGAAGCACGCCTGCAGCAGTGACAGACGGCCGCAAAGAAGCGACCAGCCATCTGCCCCCCTCACTGGTTGTGTGTCAGGGGGATAAATGAAAGATGCATGAAATCCAGCAAGTTTTGAACCCTGCCAGTAAAGACCAGAAGCAGCCACATTTATGCAACAGCCAAAGTCCTGTTTATTCCAGCATAAAACCGATCGACAACATTAACATCAATTATCTGTTGATTAAAAAAAGGGATATAAAACAAATATAGAAAATGCCGTTCGTTTCTAGGTGTCTCTTTTAAATCGCGGGTCACGGTCCCAGCCTTCAGATCCAAAGGCTTTGATTCTGCTCGTGTAGGTTTAAGTCTATGCAGGTGGGACATAAAGCAGGTGCACATCTCGTTTGAATGGATGGTGCTGACAACAGAAACAGAGGGGAGCTTCACCTTGATGAAAATGTTCTGGGAGAGAAGCCACGAAATCAATATACAGTACACTCTGTGGGAAAATTAGAAGAAAATGATCATAATTCTTACGGGGAGAAACCAAGTGGGACATTGCTGTAAAGGTCAGCTAGGCAGCTTTGACTTAAGTGGTTTTATAATGTCATTAAAAAACGGTGTTGCCTCTCTACAAGTCGGTATGCATTTCTGAGTGATTCATCAGTTATGCCTTACCCCACCGACTTAAAACACAGCATCATCCCCCACAGTTTCCTCCTCAAACAGCCTGAGGGGTGTTTTATCATTCCAGTGCTGCAGAAATAAAGATTCAATTTGAAGTTTTCTTACAGTTAATGAACATCAAGTCAACATATCAACTCCTGACCTGCCATCTGCTGGGAAACTGATAGAGAACAGCAGCAAAGCGTCAGAGCTCCCTTTGTATTCCTGTCGGATCACACGCAGGTTTGATTAAGCTATGTGCCGTTTGGGTTAAAGGTTTCATTTATTTTTCATAGCAGAGTAAGTTTGCTCCCCACAGACTCCAGACAATTTCAGACTTTAGAGGTACATATTAAATCAGTGGCTCTGCAGGGGCTATGTGAAGAGGGACTGTGCCAACCCGGAGGACCACTGGATGACTCTTTAGTTGGTAAAGCAGCATCTTTAAGAAGGCTTAGGTGGATGTAGATTGTGGTGTTCTACCACACAGAAAAAGCCCCAAATAAAGGTGATTTGCATGGGTGGAAATGTAGGATTCTGCGTTTCTGTATCGTTGATTCTAATGGTTAAAGACAAACAGGATGCTCGAATGACACTTTATGCTGTTGAAAAGGAATCAAGGGTGTAATAAATATATGTAAAATGAATGTATTAATCAACGATAAATTAACAAGTAAATAAATACACATCCAAACTCGCCCCTCCCCCAAATGACAGACTCCTTGAATGTGGTGCTAATGGGACAGTAAGGCCTGTGATTGGTGCTTTTCTCGGTGTTCCACCCCCACTAAGTCACATCAGAGCACTGCAGGAGCTGCGGTGTCGAACGCCGCGGCCGAAAGCGCGTCCAGCTAGATTGAGCTTTGAGTCTTTATGAAAGCTGTCCTCTCGCTGTGAGCGTCCACCTCCTCGCTGTCTGATTCAGACTGGTAGGTGATCGTGTCCTCATCGGCCCACACAGTGGGAATGCCCTTGTAGCAGATCCGAGCCTTCCTCTCCCGTCTCTGCCGGGGGCCCAGGCCGAAGCCCCCCCCCATCGCCCTGCTCTGTGAGAACAGGGAGGGCAGTTTGGTCCTCAGGCCCAGGGGGGCGCCGCTCGAGCGCATCTGCAGCAAGAAGAAGACCCCGGCGAAGGCCGCCAGGACCAAGGCACAGCTGAGAACCGCCACCACGACCGGCAGCTGAGTGGGCGCAGTCCCGCTGAGGCCCGGGGGTTCCTCAGCTCCTCCTCCTCCTCCTCCTCCTCCTGCGCTGCTGGGATCTGCTGCTGCTGCTGGCTCCTTCACCTCCTGCTGGGCTCCGCCGCCCCGCAGCCCCCCCGTGAGAGGGGATTTCCGCTGGACCTGGTTCTGGTGCAGACAGGAAGTGAGTACCAGGCGGCTGTGGGGCGGGCAGGACAGGCAGTCTGTGGGCCCCGTGCCGGAGCAGGTGAGGCAGGCTGGGCTGCAGGGCAGGCAGGCCTGCACGGAGGACAAGTCCACCCAGTTCTCCAGGGAGAGGTTGAGCAGCTGCAGCCCGGAGGTGAAGCCCAGGGGACACAGCTTCACACAACCCTGGAGGAAGAGGGAGAAGCCGGGGCTGCACTCTGGAAAGAGGTGAGGAAGACGAGCACACATGGGGAGATACGTCACAGGAGGGCCAATAAACACAGACACTAAAGCTGGAACTAAATTGGTTTCCTTGTTGATGAATTATTTAAACACTGAGTTGACAATAAATGGCTGACACAAAGTCAAGGAGCCCAACGGGGACGTTGTTGAAAAAGACCAGAAAAAAACAACCGTTAAAAAATCAGCACAAAACTTCCCCTTCTCTGAAGGATCTTTACACATTCAAAGAATCTTAGGACACCAAAGGTATTTGATACTTTTGAAAACAAAAGCCGATCTAGAGATGGAGCACGGTACTCATGTGGCATGCCAGCGCAGCGCAGAGGAGTTTTAAGAGTCTATTTCTATTTCTTTTAAGAAAGTACTGATCCAAATGACTGAAAACCCAGACACCCATTTACAGACGGCAAGACGCATTCAGCTTTTTGTTCGAAACGTCATCCATCTTTTGCTTAACGGCTGCCTTTAATTTACCACTACAGAGCCCTGAAACACAAACAAAGCTGTTTCCTCTCCTCCACTCTGAGTCAGACAGTTCATTTGTTAAACAAAGACCACAAGCAGCAATTTCAAGTTGTACCATTTATATCAATCGAGCTGCAGAGGCCTTCCCTCTAAAACTCTACTGTGTATTTTCACTGAACTTTTTGAGCGATTAAAAGTGCAGGTGCTGATGGGATTTTTCCAAGCTGGCTCGTATTAAAGTTAATTACCTGTTTGAGGCCACGTTTAATATTCTAATCTGTTTAGTGAGCGCTTATGGTCAATTCTCTTTGTGTTCAGGGTAAAGTTGACCTTACTAAATGAGACTGAGGGTACGTTTAACGTGGCCCCCGTGGGTGTAAACTCACCACAGGCCTTCCAAAGATCGTCCAACATGCTTATTAACTTGGTTTTTATTGATGTAGTGTTCTGTCCGACCGGCACACAGCTCACGCGGCGTGGTGGATGACCAGAAAGCCCTTCAGACCATCGGCTGTGGTGTTTATCGGCACCGACTGGCAGCCACTTCATCTGCTTAAAGATATCTGTTCAGTGCCGGAGCGGCGCAAATCTGCTCCTCACTCCTGCAGCGTAATGTTTCTGCAGCGGTGGAAGCAGGGTGACGCTCACACTGGGGACTATCAGAAAGCCCTCTCATGTACCCGGCATCATTAAGAGCAATCCGCCTGCCGTTTGCTATCGATCCCCCCCCCAAGTATTCTCTTGTGGGCTCCCCTATTTTCTTTCTTTGTACAGTTTCCTTTTTGGCATAAATAAATTGGAGGGCACTGCTTTCATTTTCATTTAAGGCAATGTGCAGGGTTAATTCGCGCCGGCTTAGAGCCGATTGTTGCTCATATGTCGGCGTGCTATTTTTAAAGGCCTGTTCGGAGAAACTGGCTAGATTTCTGGGTCCCGCATCAGTGGCCTCTGAACTGTCCATGGTTACCAGGGCTGGTATGTGAATCCCTCAATTATACTGTGCAGTACTTCTAGAGGTTGAATGAGTTTCATAAAAGCAAACCACTTAGGGGGAACCGTCTCCTCTTTTCAGCACTAAGTTTAGGATCTTTTCACCAAAATTGAAAAAGAACCTGTAAAAAGAGAACTGACAGATTTATGATGGTTGGTGTTTTCTCACTTTCTCCAGCAGATTTTTCTCTCCCTTTTCCAAAGCTGAGATGCTTTCCCTTATACTCTAAGAGACCTCATTAAGGCTATTTATCTTACAGCACTGTCAGTTTTCACACTGGTAGTTATTATTTTCCTAAAATTTAGCCATTTCTTTTTCAGCGTTGGAGTTAGTGTGTGGGAACTCATTAAGAAACTGGGTTGTGTAAATGAGCGGCTTTTATCCAAAAGATTAAGACGACTGCAGAGGAAGCGTCTGACTGGGAGCAGAGAGGAGCGTGTGTGACCTCGCCTGCGTCTCGTGGAGAAGCGGCAGTTGTTGAAAATGTGTCCTTCCCGTACTGTTAGAGCCTTCATCACCGGCTGCTCCCTGTTCCCCCGGCTCATATGGCAAAGGGATGATTTATTGCGGACTCGGATAATCAGATGCACAAGAAGTTTTGCGAGTGTCTGAGCCGTATTCACAACATTTCTGTGTGCTGGGTCAAAACGCCTCACAGATCTGAGCAAGCGCCCGAACCAAATGAGTGTCGTCAGGTTGCCTGTAAGTGTAGGAAATGAGATCTCACCGATACAGATCTGCTGGGCATCAAAGGTCTTGCAGCTGTTGTTGGAGGGACGAGGGAAGTCGGGGGAAGACGGGTTGATGACGCTGGGCCCCGTGCCCCACAGGATGAGGGTGAACTGACTCAACACGCCTGAGACCAGAGAAGAGATGGGAGAGGGTGGCGGAGTTTAGAAAGGTGGAGACAAATATCAATTTAGCACCTCTCAGAGAGTTTACAGAGTGAAAGTGGCCATGAAGAGGATCTGGGGGTGGAAGGAGAGGAAACAACTGATGGGAGCAGTCCAAACACAGCGGCGGAGGAGGGCCAGCACAACAAGCAGAGGAGGAGAGCTTTTCCTATTTCATTTCTTTCTGCAGCACCGAGTAAACAAAGCCACAGGAAAAACTCTGAGATATTAACTCTTCATGCTGTCTCGTGGGAACAGTGCAGTCCATATCTTGGAAAGCAGAACACTCTCAAGAAGTTTTGATCAAAAGTCAGCAGATATTTTCTTGCCGAGGGAAAAAAAAAAAGGCCCCAGCCCATTGGCTGGCTTTGCCTCTGAGAGACGGAGCGCTACAGAGGAAAGTGTGACTGAAAAAAGGCTATTTAGAGAAGCGTGAAAATATTCAACAAGACTTTCAGGATTCAACAAAAGGGGGGGGGGGTATGGGGTTGCAGTTAACGCCGGCACGAATGTGGCTTTGATATGATGTGACATGTCTGAAGAATAGCCTACTGAGAGGGGGTTACCATAGTCACGCCCGTTGGCTGCTGTGTTTTCGATTTCTAGGGACCACTCTCCCTGAGGATCCTCATCCCATGAGTGGGTGGTCATGAAGGCCCAGTCGTTGAACCCCTCTGAGGAGTAGTCATTAGGTCTGGACAGAAGAGGGGAGAGAGACCGCATGTTAGCTGCCCCGGGTCAGATGAGGACACACGGCTAGCTTTGCTTTAGCTCTCGGTTGCCGGGGGGGGGGGGGGTGGTGGACTGTGTACCTCGGGAACAGCAGGGTGGAACGCGTGCCCAGTGGGCTCACCAGATGAATGGCCAATTTTCCTCTCTGGCTGTGGGAGAGAGTGAGGCGAGCCTGAACGTGCTCCAGAGACCTGACGTACTCCGGCCTCCCCCAGCAGGCGTCCACGCTCTTGCTGAACACCAGCTTGTTTCCGATGTCTCTGAAGGTTTGACAGGCGGAGGGGAGAGTGGTTAATGTGGTGTGGCTGCTGAGACGGACACAGGCAATCGCACTGTGCAAAGAATCCAAGCAGCCCCCCCGGCCTCCAGGAGGATGCTGTGACATCTATCAAGCTAAGAGGAATGGCAGCACAGGGAGTGCTCGTAATAAAAACGAAACCAAGTGCAGTTTACACACAAACACACGGGCTCAAGCCATGCCGCTAACCTTGGCTCGGTCAGCATTGTGTGGACACACTGGTGCTGTGGCTCCACTGTAGTCCAGTTCTGTGCCAAATCGACCATAGCACCTGCATCCAGGAGCCCATAACCATACGAATGGCTCACTGCGCAGAGAAAACCAGTGAAGGGGGGAGAAAAGCAAATGTTGGAGAGAGATTACAACAAAAACAAAACAATAAGTAAATCCCGATCATGAATCTTTTAATTGGGAGGAAAGACTCTCAAAGCAATCAATTAAGAGAAAAATGTTTTAAACAAATTTAAATGTCCTTTTTTTTTTTCTAATGTCGCTCTTTAGGGAAATATTACGACAGCTCCTGCTCGTCTCGGCGGGCTGGAGGAAGCCTGTTTGACTGACAGCTGCTGACAGACTGAGATCTGGCAGGGGAACGAGAGACGGAGTAAACAAACTTCTGTAGCTCACGAGGCTCGGACAGGCGGCGTGGTTGGCACCACACCACTGTATAAAAGGGCATTTGCAATAGCTGTAAATTCACGTGCGGTTTGATGTGCTGAAGCTAAGCAGTAAATCTCCCGTCAAGACTGCAAAGCCCGACAGGAGCGGCAGACTGCTGTTGGTGGAATGCCCGTTTGGTGGCATTTTCAACAAGGAGAAATGCGAAACAGGGTGCGCTCAGGTTTGGAGATCACTCAGGCAGTGGAGGCATGACTGAAAGTCTGATGGTGCTTTGAGTCTTATATGAGACTTGAAATAATAATTTGAGCCTTCTGGTTTCTGACAGAACAGAGAACATGTAATTTTATAAAATTTGTTATAAGATACTCAATGGTCTGCTCTTCAATATAATGATAATACTTATTTTTTAAAGGACTTCAACAGACAGAATTATTCTCAACAATAAGAAAAGCTAAGAAGAGAAATCCTATCCTCAAGAAAAATGTGAAAAGAAGGCAGAGAAGTGTAGCCTGTTTATATTCTCAGTGGAACATTATTTCAGAGCCCTTATGGTAAAACCTGACCCCCCCTCTGTCTACCAGCTGGAACACAGGAAAACAACAAGGCGGGTAGGAGGTGAGAAGGTCAATAATGTTGGATGAGGCATGGCCAGTCAATAATTGAAAAATAAGCACTAAGAATTTTAAAGCCAGCTCTACATGGTAGAAATGGAGGCAATGAAGCACCTTTTAACCTCAAAAAGGCTCATACTAACGCACTCATATTTACAGAGCTGCAAAGGCCACAAAGTTTCAACTAAAAACAGCACATTTGTCTTTTGCAGGGCACCTAAACCACACAAGGACAAACTGTGTCCAATCTATGCCGGGGAGGATCTCTAACGCTAAGCGTCCTCTACCTCTGCGTCCCACTCCGTTGGCCTTCCAGTCCGCGGCGCTCAGGTGCCCCGGCTGAGACGTTCTCACCACGAGGTGCTGCATGTCCCTCCAGGTTAGGTTCATGCTGCACACACACACACACACAAGAGCCAGAGCGAAATAACCATATTGACTTCCTGTCATGTAGTGGCTGAAGGCATTCCCCTGTACATTATGCACATTATGAGAAAAGCCAGGTTTCGCTGACCTCAACAGTACAATAATGCATCAGAGGAAATGTGAAGAGCCGTGGGACATGAAAAAAAAGGTCAGGGCACTGTAGATACACCTGAAATGCGATCCATATCAGAATGCGCTGCGAGGACAACGATAGACTTCTGAAATATTATATGGAGACATGGAGGAGAGCGGGAGACATTTCCCAGGCCACCATAACAAAGCTGCTGGCTCACATAAAGGTGTTAACACCAGTAATAAAAAGCACATCATAGCCTGTTGGGTTGCGAGGTCAGGAAACACATTAAGACGGCTGATGTGTACCGTGGAGAATCCTGTCCATTCCTCCTTGCAATGCAAGTTTCTAATGACATGTGGGACCGGGGGAGAGGGGTCACCTTTCACGAGGAAGGAGCACATAAGGAGATATTCTCCTTCTCATGTACAGTAGGGTGGGGATGAAATACAGTGAGAGTTCAATCAGAGTAGGCTGAGAGTCTGGAATAAGGAAAAACTTTTGAGCGGGCTAAAATAATCAAACCATGAATCACAGTTGTTACTGTGTGTGCCACGCCAGAGTCGACGGAAATAGAAACGCGGGGGTTTCACTGAGGCGCATCACCTCCGCCACCCTCTGCATCGAGATGCACATCTCTTTCCCTCTCATGTGTTATTAATGGACAAGATTCCCTAATCCACTCAATGTCACCCTCAGCCGAGAGGGGAAGGAATAATAAAATAATAAAAAGGCGGAAAAGCCAAACCCCCTCAGCTTATTAAATGATTCCATCTATGTGAGTTTTTAGTGTGGTCCCAGTCTGATAAACCAGCTACCCAGTTATTACTACTGCCTGTCAGGAGGGATGCCTGCTGGGGAGCGGCTCACCGGCAAATATTGACTGATAGTCGACGCTCTGAAAACCCGAGCTCTGTCAGTTACTGCCCATCTCTTATGATATCAGAGGTGACAGAGTTGAGATAAGCCGGGGGAGTTGAAGATAGATACCTGGGAAGTAAGGTGCGGTGCAGCGGGATAGGATTTGGCAGCTGTCATCATTAATATGGACATGAGGAGAATTATGCAGAGTGGAGCACCGCTGAGTGATAAGACTGACTTTGCAAATGCAAAACTTGACTCGAAATATGAGTGTGACACATCGGAGCAGCTCACAGAAACCTGAGCACCTGAACTCCTGTGTGGGGGATAATGAGAGACATTCTCCGCAATCGCGTCATCTCGAACGGCCCTACAGGTATTCAAATGTCTGTGCGAGCTGCAGCTGCTGATTTATCTCGCTAATTAACTGATTATCAAACGCTTAATTTAGTGTGGAATGAATTTCTGCAGGGGTTTAGTCCAATGCTGATTCCCAGAGGCGTCTGGTGTATTTCCAGGCAAGAGGGCCCACACCTCCCACCAGTGCACTGTTGAGCATAATAATAAACCCGATAATACAGATCATAACATTGGTAATTACGCATTTTATTTACAGAGCACTTTTTAAGGGGTTGTTATATTGGATGAAAAAAAACTTTCTTTAAATCGCAGCAGAGTAAAAAAACAGTTCTGGGAGGCGTTCGTGTCACACTCACTTTGCCTCCAGAGCCAGAGCGATGATCCCAGCAGCCAGTGGGGCTGAGGCAGATGTTCCCGTGTGGGAGTCCGTGCATTTCTGCCTCAGGTCTGTGGTCACCTTAGACAGGACAGAGGAGAGAAAAGTGCTGAAGCAGAGACAGTAATACGAGCAAAAGTTCACGGTGAGAGAAGCTGAAGACCGGGAGGGGCGGGCACACTGCCTGCAGCTATCTGAGATGGATGGAAGGAGGAGGAAAAAGGAGCCGGTAGGTTCAGTCTCAGGTCGGCAGAGGCTCACTCAGGGGTCAGTAAATATCAGCCCAAACAGTGCGGCCGGGTCAGGTGGGGGTCAATCAAAGTGTGAAGTTAGCACTCCAGGTAAGAATCTGCTCTTCTCACCTGTCAATGCCAGAAAGCTAATGAGGCCTGTCGGGTCTTGATGAGGATGAATCAGAGATGATGAAGAATCAAGATGGACTGAAATTTAGGGACGCATTCTTTGTTTGGCCTGACAGACGGTGACACTAATGATGGCTATCTGTGGACAGATTCTGTGCTCCAGCAGTAAACAAAGGGGGGCCTGGTGTCCACACAGGCCAAGCGTCAGCCCACGGAATTCAGAACAAAAAACTAAACTAAACGTATATTTCACACGTTCCGAGCACAACAAAAAAAAAGGTTAATCCATTAGTTCAATCTAGCAGGAGCTAAAGTCTTCTTCTTTTTACAGGGGCTTTCGGATTTTTGACATTCGGCAGGACAAAACCTACAGTCTGACACAATTGTGTCAGCTCTAAAAATAATCTGTCAGAGAGGTTTTGTATCATGACATTAACACTAAGTCACCAAGCCGAAAAACGGTCTACAAATGTAATACTTGTCCAAAAAACATTTCCTGCTCATCCTTCCACTGTTTTGCTACCAATATAATCATTACTAGATCAACAAACATGTTTCCATTCAAACATTCTTGAAGTAGAGTATTTGAAATTTCTGATAGATCACTGAATTTGTCAACCAAGTGATCTATTCTGAAGCTCATTCTACATTTCTTTGAAAGCCCATTACAACTCTACTTGAGGATAAAAGGAATGACATAAAATCACTTATGCATCAAAAGCATCATCCATCTGCAAAAGTAACAACACAAGCAAAAACTAAAAACTAAAACCTTTTTTTTTTTTTTTTTGCCTCCAGCATCTCCGATGCACTTTGGAGAGAATGGCAGAGTCATGCTTGTTTTATGGAAGTCTGTGTCCCTAAGGCGAGCCTTTCATCAGCTGACAAGAAGCTTGAAGGAAACATGTGGCATCTCTCAGTGTTTGTCCGCTTCCCTCGTTGTGTCTTACACATCAGAAGCCCTGTCTTTTGACAGTTTGGTGTCTATTCCTGACATGAGAGACACCCTTACTGTGAAGACGTGCTGGAAACAAAAAAAAAAAAAAAAAACTGTGAAAGCGCTGTTCTGTAAGTGTGACTCCTGTGGTTATTTTTTGCCATTTTACAGTATGCTCCTACACAACGGCCGATATCAGAGGCCCATATATACGTGTATGAGTGTGCACCCACTATCTGTTTCTCCCCTGGATTTCCGGAGCTGAAGGTGGTGGCGAGCGTGGAGGAGCAGGGCTCGCTGTACCAGGGCACGTTCCCGGACTGCGTGGTGCTGCTGATGGACAGGGTGTAGATGCTGTTGGTGTAGCCGTCGCAGTTGCAGCTGTCCTGCTCCCGCCCGCCGTTCCCCGAGGCCCAGACGAAAATGGAGCCCAGTCCGCCGCGGCCCTGCGTCACACAGACAAGAGACGCCCTGGTACAGACGAAACCCGGAACACGGAGGAAGCGGAGAGAAAGAGAACCAACGGGCGCCGGCTGACTTGAAAAAACGCCGTTGACAGACGCATTTCGTCTGGCTGCCTAAATGGCATGTCATTTGCATGCTTTCTGTCGCAGCAGCCGCCGCCGGCACGGCTCCTGTTAATTCATCATGATGTCAAGACGAACATCAGATAACAAACAGAAGAAATGTAATTACCATATGCACTCGAGCTGAATATCATTTGAGGGGAAATAAATGGCAGCATATGTATACAGTGATGAGAACGTGTGCATTCATGGCATGTGCCGTACATCTGGTGGCGTGGGGGGAGTTATGACTCAGATGGAAATGTCGCTGACCCTTTTAGTGAGGAAGACTGTGTTTTGTCAACAGGAATATGAAGAGGCGGCTTTAGTTGTCCCAAGACACACTGGCCCCTTTTTCATGCACTTTTCCTCAGCTGATTAAATTAGTGTAAGTCTTTATTTACAAGTGAGCCCGGGCAATCGATAGACCGCATTCAGCCAGGACGACGCACTGCTGCCATGGTGCTTGCAAATGGTGGAAAACTTTGAACCCCGGTAGCTTAAATTTCTCTTTGGGCGCCGCAATTGCCTCTACGCAGGGTCTGAGGTCCTCTTGCTTATTTTGAAGGTACGAGTTGGTCTGCCAAACCTCTGCCCTGCTGACCTTCTCTCTGTGTTGCTGATTAGAGCCCGAGGCCTGCACACAGGCTCCTGCTGACTGTCCCTGGAGCCTGTCAGGAGACGGAGACGGAGGCCATCGGGGCATCTGCTGTCAGGGCTCTGAAACAACCTCGGGGTGGAGATCGACCTCAGCATTCTCTTGTTAACGACCAGCAGGCTTCTCTATTTCCATCCTGCTCTTACTATTTTTCCTCGACAAAACGTTTTTTTTTTCCTCCTTCGTTAGACCTTGTCATTTCTCTGCATTTGATTGGCGTTAATGATTTATTACAGCTTGTCAAAAACAATTTAATAGATGTGAAAGAGCCTTCCATCTATGTCTGGAGGCAGCCACCCAGCCACAGTGGCTTTCAGTGTAAAAATGATAGATACAAACTTCTCTTCTTTTTTCTACAGTCTCAACAAAGTGTGCAGACAAATAAAAAACAAACAATCATGGTAGTGCAGATTTAACACAATGAAATATAGTAGAACATTTACTGGTTTACCACTGGAACTGTGACGCTGTTTTCTTCTGGCTTAGTTAATCAGTGGGATGTTAAGCTCATAACTCTACAAAGGGACCTTCATTGGACCTGAAAACAAATTTTAAATGTGCTTGTTCAGAGTGTTTTTATAAAGATTATCCATTTAATTTCCTTAATGGATTCCTACACCCCCATCTCACAAATAATCTCTTTAGAAGATGGGATTAATGGGCTTTTGCTGAGTGTTTGATGCTGTCTGACTCTAACTGCATGCTCATTCTAAAAGCTTTACACAATGCTCCTTTAGCGTCCAGGCCAATTTATGACCCGGCGCTGCCTCCGATGCTTGTTACAGAGGCCGGATGACAACACTTCAGCACCGAGCCTTTTCTCACTGGCAAGGAGAACACAGGATGAAGCCGGGAGGTCCTGTTGTCTTGCAGCTGGGTCATTTCTCCCTGCTCACAGGCCATGATGTGCACAACCTCATGTTTTGGGATGTGGGGTAAGACTCAAATCTCAGCTCCATCATTTAGCTGCTCTGCTAACCCCTTTTGACTTAAGGTGCAGACAAGTGAGAACTGATTTAAACTTATTTTCCACAACTAGTTCTGCTTAGCGTTAGGGGAGAAGCTGATGTGCATTTAACAAACTCATCTTGAGCTCGTCATTCTCCACAACTGGAAAATGTTTGATGATAATCAAACTAGACTGATTGCATAAGTGGGGAAATATGTTGGCCTTCTCTTACATTCCTCATTGTAACAGGAGCACTGAAAACTTTCTAACATCCTGTTTTGCTGACAGGACAGAAAAGGGTTTGTGTATTTGCAGCCTCCATGGAATAGTCTGGCAATTGGGAAATAGACATATTTGCTTCAGGAAACTTCTGGTCTTGGTGAGCAAAATAAGTCTGTTCGGGACATAACTGTGTTGTCTATTCTAACCCAAATCCGACGTTATTGCTTTTCCCAACTGGTTATTTCACGCAGCTCTCAACAACCTCCAACAAGCTTCATAAGTTTATTGCTGCACAGAGATAAGGCGCTGGGAATACCGATTCCTCATTAAATCACACTCTGCATTCATATATTTTAAACCTAACTAATTACTGAGCTTCAGAGATTTTTCTTTTCAAATTTTTGCTATGTACAGACAGAATGTCTCCATGTATCTAACATCGACGCCCAACTGAAAATGCAAAAAGCTGTATCAGTCTTTTCATTAAAGCAACTCTCAGCCCAAAAGAGGCTAACTATGTCCTACGATTTAGATATTAGACAAGAGTTAGACAGATTACATATAAGATACCAAAAAAAAAAGAGCAAAGTGCTGTGAAAATAGAATGTGTTGACTTCAAAGCCTTTCGAACTCCTGTTTGTAAGCTAAATCATTTTATGTCACTGTGATGAAACATCAGTGTGGGTGCTACAACTCACATTTTTATCAGATCTATAACAAATCTGAATTCCCTGGTTCAACCTACGTTTCACTGATTCGAATCATCCTGAGCCTTGTAAAACCACGTCTGACACAGGGCATGTTTACCAGGGTTGCATCACCTTCTCCTTTGACAACACGCTGTAAGCATTTGCCACCTGAGACGAGCAGTTGCTTGTTTTCAAAGAAACATGTTTTCTCCAATCTTGTGTGATAAAGTGTTAAAGCTGCTCTGCAATCCAGGGCCTCCTCTGCCATATTTTTCATCTTACCATAAATCAAACCGTTTCAGTGAGGTGACAAGTTTGGACGTCGGGCAGCTAAGTTTAATACCTGAATTTGTGCCGTTGTTATAAATTGCTTGGCAGCGATTGGGCATTGTCACGTGAAATGTTCCCTGGAAAAGTTTTCGCTTAGAATCTTTTGCACTGATTTCTGAATGTTTTCTTCAGCACTGATGGCACCCTCACAGATGTTCAGATTACCCATGAAATGTGCACTAATACTCTCTGTCACCATCTGAGAAGCAGGCTTTATTAACTGATAAGAAGTTTTCCAGTTTCCCCGTTTGATCATCTTTTAGCACAATGATGCCAGCAGCCTTTTTAAAAAATTGAACTTGCATTGTAGTAGAATTGATTTTTCATTTCCAACAGCGTTGGTTTTCAGAAGAGTTTCTGAGCCCAGATCGTAATTTCAGCAACAGAATTGGGTCTGTTTCTGATGTATTGCTGCCTGAGGGCCTGAAGCTTACAAACAGTTGCTGTTGTTTTCCAGCTTTTCCTCTTATCCAGCCAGAATTGTACAATTTCTCTTAATGTTTTAATGATTCTTTGCAGCGTAGCATTTAAAAACACCTTATTCTTTGGTATATATTTTTTTAGAAAGTTTTTATATTTTTTTATTGCACCCATGCAATCTTTAGTCATGAAAATACCAGCTTCTCTAGGGTGCACTTTAAGAAAAAAATAAAATAATAATGAATGTTCGCAATTGCACCAGTTAATCTTCCTCTAGCTTTTCAGATGTCCCACCACATGTCCTTTTCTCAGATGCTCCCAGTCTCTTACTGGCTCTGCCTTTATTTTTAGAAAATGTGCTGCTGGGATGAAATCCAAAACCATTTCACAGCGTCCAAACTTCATCAGAAACAGGGCTGCACAAGTGTAAGCACATGCAGGAACTGACCTTGGTAATTCCCTGGAGGAAAGCCTCCTTGGCCAGCTTGGCAGGGCCATCCAGTGACTTCCCGTCATCTTCTGGGCCCCAGCTGGCGCTGTATACGTGGATGTGCTGGGGGTTGATGCTCAGAGAGTGAGCTTCCACCACATCTGTCACTTCTCCGTCCAACATGCGAACTCCTGTAAAATGGGCAGAAAAATTCAGAGCATATCAGGTAACAAAACTGGAGGGAGCTGTGCAGAGGGATAGTAAGACTTTCAGCATCAAACGAATGCAGAGATGTGTAAACCTGAGGGACAAACGCACGGCGAAGCTGGAGGAAAAACATACAAAAGTTGCCATAAAAACACTGAAATGGGCTGGAACTAATCCCCATTTCATCCTAAAGCACAACACGAAAAACAACAGAACAGGAGACAAAGGGAATTCATTGGAAAAACACTTCACTCTGTGTGGGTTTAATGAGCGAGCTCCAAAGCTTCACCCGGAGTTGTTGCTCTGAGGGATACTACACTATTTTACCATGACAAAGCCAAAGATCTAACTGGTAGTTCCACAAGGAAAGGCTGTTTACTACCCCCAAAGACTTTAAACTGATAAGTAGACAAATCTTACAGACTGCGGAGAGGATAGAGCCTCGCCCACATGTGCGTGTGCATAAAAATGAGCTTTGGCTTTGCAGAACCTCTTGCAGTCTTGCATGCCCATGGGGAAGCACTAAATGTCACCTTTCATCATACCTGAACGCAACCCTGTCTGCGCCTTTGAAGTTTGCAGCCTCAGATCACTCCTCTGAACATTAATGGTTTTAGAGAGGCATGAAATGAACCACCCTCAAATAGGGTCCATTACTGGTAAAGGACCCCCGGACATCAGACGCAACATTAAGACTGACGACATCCACATTGAGACATTTTAGACAATGCATGCTGACAGGGATGCTAAAAAGGCGCTAATTACTCTGAGCTATCAGTGGAAGAGATGCCTGAATCTGGAAGAGATTGGAAAAAACTTGTGTGGGGGGGATAAACCTGCGACATAAAGCTCTGTGTTCGCTCGGTGATCGCTATGCAAAAGCTGTGCTGCGGCAAAAGGGATAATGACGGCCATAAGAATCCCCATCAGCGTCCTGCAGCCTGCCGCTTCTTTATTAAGACGCTGCCGTGTGAGTTTCCCGCAGCGGCGGTGAGTCACAGGTAGCAGGTAAGGACACTTCTCTGAGTGTGTTTGTGTGTGCGTGCGCTCAGGTGGTGGGGGGGTGGGATGGGAAGGAAACACACAGCGGGCCAAGCAGGATCAATTATGAGTTTTAAACACAGATCACTAATCATCGTTATTCCATAAGTACAGGCACATTTTAGTGTTTGTGCAAAGATGACTGATCCTCTGTTCTCTCTCTCTCTCTCTCTCTCTCTCTCTCTCTCACACACACACCCACACACACACACACACACACGTGTACACACGCTGTGAGCATTTGGGAGGAAATCACAGCTGTTTGGAAATAATCCGCTGACCCCATGACGTGAACAGATTCACAGAGGAGTCATTTATGACAGCAGGGCCAACACGCAGCTCTGTCGGGAGACGAATGGTAATGAAGACAAAGAATGAGAGTTATGAGAAACATCTGTGAGCGGGACTGCTCAGGGCTCCACAGGCTCCGCTGAGTCTTGTTGGCTGCCATGGCGGCATTGACAGATTGCATGATGACAAAAGTCACTAAAAGCCTGCTCGGAATTCTCGATCAAGGCCGAAATTTTTCAGGAGACCGAAAGAAAAGACACCCATTCAGGCTAGATTTGTGATTGACATCTCCTTCCTTTATGCAGATCAGCACACATTTACAGCTTTATGATTGTTTAAACAAGAAATCTGCGCCGAGGGAATGAGCAAATTCTTCAGCAGCTGATTTACTGCGAGATGCCTGCTGCACCGTGAAGTCACTTTACCTGGCAGCAACGTTACATTAAATTTTGGCTGTTCCAATTCAAAAGAGAAGAAAGCAGAAAATCTTTTCTTGCATCAAACTAATGAACTAAAGACAGAAAAAAAAGGAAAAAAGCCAAACAAATGTTAATTGTGATGCTCATTTGAATTGTGTTTGGAGTCCGATCCAGTTATGTGTATTAAAATAAAGTCAGCACATAGGGGGGCAACATATATTCTGTTGAAGAATAGATTTCTTGTATCATAACAGCAGGCTTCAGGAGGTAATCAGAAGCTGGTTGTCTCTCAGGCATCAGAGAAAAGCTTTTCACTGCACGTGACTTCCTGAGTAATCTAAATACGCCGCACAAACTATATGTCATATATGACATATATATGACATTTAAAAGCTAGCAGTGGGTCATTGATGAAATGTAAAGACAGCGCTGCACTTAAAGCAGCACAGAGAATCCAGTGAGGTGGCACAGGCACAAAGAAACGACCTTCTTACCGATTAATTTAAATGGGAAGTTTATTGGGCATTTTACTTCAAATTAAATCACATCAACCTCATTTAAATTAATACTATAGTAATTACTCATTATGCCCCATTAAAAACAGAAATGGAGTGCTTGCACTCACCTCCAATTTTTGCATTATAGGCCACACCGACGCCACAAACTCCATTGTTAGCTGCAGCTGCCACTTCTCCTGCGCACCGAGTTCCATGTCTGAGAGAAAAAGGAAACACATCAATAATAAATCATTTCCGTCTCAAGCAAATGGAGGTGAAATGCAGTCGGCATGTAAATTCCCAATCTTTGGGGCTTTTAAAAAAGACTGCAGCTTAAGTGGTGCAACAAAAAAGACAAAAAAACAAACAAACAAAAAAAACAAAACCAAAACCAAGACATAAACATGAACCCACTGGTCATTTTCAGAGTCATTTATCAACAGCAACAGCTGGTGAAACTGCTAAACACCATTTCTTTCTCGCACAACACGATGGGCATTAACAGATTAAAACCGTGCTGGTCTAAACACATTAGACAGCAGTTGGAAAACTTAACTGTACCAAAACCATAGAGACACACACACAAATGGTTCTGAGGATCAAATGAAATCCTATTCTCTTCACTGAGACCTTGAAAACCTTTAGACAGGCAACAAGGCTGCTTTACAAGGCACTGTTCTTTTTTTTGTGGCAATTTTACACTGTTTTTCTTAGAAACTATGTCATGGGTTTCTTCAATATGGAGCTTTTAAGAATTGTCTCATCAAGTGCTGACAGATTGGACAATGAATTCGGCCGAACGTTCAAAGGAAAAATGATAAACCAGACCAACTCAGACTAAAAGGATTTTAAATGTGCCTGTTGCTTCTCATTAAAGTGACTTTTATGGAGTTCAACAGTGCCCGCTCCTCGTAAACCAGCCCTGGCTGTGTGGTTTTATACATTTCCATTAATGACTGATTTGGTTAAAAGAGCATACACAATACAACATCTAAGTATTTGTGAGACACCCTGGAGACGAAATATCTCCTCTGTTCCACACAACCACTTCAGAAAACTCCTCTTTTCAGTGAAAAAAAAAAGAAATCCATGAAAACTTTTCTTCTTTGAAACAGCCAACAGGGTTAGTGGAGAAAAAGGCACTTATCAGAAACCTGTAGATAAATAAAATGACCTGTCAAAATCTAAGTCCACCTCGGCAGAAACTGGCCTCAGGCCATCCAATTGAAATATGAGATGGTATTGATGCACTTGAATTATTCACAAAGAGGTTCATTAAATCGTTCAAACGGTGTTGAGTCTCAGACTTGAGACAGGTTTCCTATAGAGCATTGTCAAACTGTCAAATACACCGACATTTCACAAACAAACTCCACTCCGCAGCTCCCCACTATGACTTAAAAAGAGAGGGAATGATTGGTTTTTATGTAAATTGAATGCGTTTCCACCATGTTTTCTCTTGCTGCAGTGTTATCAGATTGCAAAAGGATGAAGTAGAATGAGCGTTTGGCATTTAACACAGGCTATTAAGTTTGTCTCCTGATTACAGTGCAGACATCTGATTAGGAAGCGCGCAATTTTACACCCGTCTCAGAGAGGTGCTGTGTGAATGTTATCTGAACAAAGCCAATTACGTCAACAACACAGCCAAAAATTACCTCCCTTTCTGTTCAGCAAACCTCACTGATGATGAGGCAAACGTCTCTTCTCAGGGTCAGCGCAGGGCGACACCTCCGGCTGGAGCCCTGATTGGACCCTGAGGCTCTGTTATACATAATCAACCAGGAAACTCTCTAGCTTTTAAAAGCCTGTACCATAATATTCATTCATTCCTACCAAAGTCTTCCCTGTTGGTCTGATTTGCTGTACAAACTGAGCTGTCAACAGCTACAAGCATTACAGTAAATTTTAAATGGGCAATCAATTTTAACTGACAGGACTTATCTTTCACAGTTTTATGCTCTTATACAAGGACCTCTGCATGCATGGCGAAACAGATGCACACATATGCACTTTCAGAGCCAATTAAAATCGTTACAAAATCGAGGTTAACTCTGTTGACTAAGGAGAAATAGAGCCGACTGGGATTAAATGTATCTTCTATGTATGAAGAAAAACTTTGAATCAGTGAGAAAAAAAATCCAAACATGAAAAGGTTTGTTTCTGAGAAACACGAGGTATGAGAAAAAGCCTGAAACTTGATATTTTTCCAACAGCAGGACGTGTCCGTCTGCATGTGAAGTGACCTTTCAGTGATTGCCCATTGTTTGTTATTTAATCAGACTACTACAGAGGCTCAGACCTGCCCACTCGTTACATTTGAGCTTACAAATGTGTGCCTGACAACGACTTGCTTTACAAGCCCCTCAGCACAGAAGCAGGCGTACTATTTTGTGCAGAAACGGTGAACTGTGGCTTCTGGATGCGAGCTATCCATCAACTTCAAATCCACACAAGACTGGCCTATAAAACCGTTTGGCTTAATATCACCTTTCCTTTCCATAGAAAATTAGTAGTGAAAAGACTTCATGATGGTAACTGGGCGACGTTCTTTTCATGGACCAAGAGAGCCGTTCATCAGTGCTAATGAGGTACGATTCAGCTAATAGCACTTTCACAATTAATGCACCAATTTAACATGAAGCAGTCATAGATGAGATCTACAGTTGGAGAAACAACGTTCAGAGCTCTCATTACGAGTCCAAATGAGCCCTTGGTCATTGCGGCACACCAGTATCTGCTTTAATGAAAAGCAGCAAAATCTCTATATACATCGTACAGGTCCTTCAATCGGTAATGACACGAGGAGATGCCAGATAAAAGTTTATGTTTCTTATTTGCATGGTGCTGCTGATTTCCTCTGACAGCGGTCCAACTGAGGAGCACTAATTTCGAACGGGCATACATCGTTTGGGTGATGTTCTACAGAGTGCGCCGGCATAGTCTGTTGTGATTGGGCAGATGGGCTGACCTAAATAAAAAAAAACAACAACGAGCCTGCGATGTGTATTAGCTATTTAAATGCTCTGCAAATAGCAGCTTGTTATGTCAGCAGTCAATGACCTTTAGAGAATAAAAGACAAGAACATCAACATTGTGGTTCTCAGCGTTGTTATTGTATTTTTTCTTATTACATTAATTATTTTTCTTGAAGCAGAGACACCGTATTGGCCAATTTGTTGAGCCCTAATCACCAACTCAGCAGCACTAATTAAACAGCATCAGCATATTGATCTACTGAAGTATATAAAAAAATAATAAGAATTCCTTCCAACATATAAAATCCATGAAGAGTTACGCTTTAAAATGTGAAGTTCAGCATTCAAAGCCTCATTTGACAAAAAAGTTGTTTTAGTTTTTAGAATTTAAAATGATGAACAAACAGCCGTTAATAATTTAAGAAGTCTTTTAAAAAAAAAAGTTTTAGCCTGCAATAATTTTAGCTACAATTCCCCATCTGGATGTAGAGTTATTGTTTTCTTCATAGACAAAAAAAGCTCTCAGGCTCCACACAGCACATATCCTCAGACCTCTGAGCTACAGATGTGATGCCAGGCAGAGGATTGGGCCAAGGCGGGCTGAGCCAACACAGCCAGAGGCCAGAGAAGTCATTTACAGAAAAGCTGCACACATCAGCTGTTCTGAATACTATCTGCATGTCCACACACACGTGTGTGTGTGAGTGAGTGAGTGATTGACCCAGATTAAATTCGGCTAAAACAGTGAGAAAGCTGTGCATATCCTTAGAGGCACAGACATGCCAGAGCAGACAAACGGGTTTATGATGGGGGCCACAATTTTTTCTTTCAAATGTCCGTGAAATTAAATGGTTTCCAGGACACTTTACTGAATGCCTCCATTCTATACCCATTTAAAGAGGCTTGGGAGAGGTGTCACAGACACAGTATGATACGAGGTCAGGAATAAAAGCAGTTTGAAAATGACAAAAATTCATTTTGTACAAGAGACGTGGCAAGACAACTAAACACTTTCAAAGCAGAGCAACATCAGCTCAAAGCGAGACAATTGCTGCATGCAAAGCACTGGTCTGAGAACTGGTGGGAGGCAAAAGCAGCCTACTTCATCTGTATTTAAGCAGTGGACAAATGGCCGGACACAAACACGGGCAGGCAGCTGAACTATTCACACAACCAATGTGACCTTTATCTTATCGGAAAGAGCACAAGGGACAGTGTGAGGTAATGCTTTTATCTCTCCTCCTCAGGACAAGGCACTGTATTTGGTGAAGTCATTGTGCTGCCATTTATAGGAAAATGTAGACATGTCATAAAAGACGGATTCACTGGACAATGTGGACTTAACCGGATCCAGTGTGACCACAGACTGTCCAGAGTAGACATGCATGATGCTACGCTGGCTCAGAATGAAGGCAGACTCACTCAGTATGAAACAATAAAAATACACAATGTATAGGGAGGCTAAACACTGCTGGAATGTCTTCACATTTTCCAGGCAACTTAAGCCTGAACCCTGAACATGTGACATGTGTGAACACACCAAGGACGCGGTGAGATTTGGGCACTCAGATCACAACGGTACGAGAAGTAAACCAAACCCACGTTCGGTAGAGTCCAGAAACCTGGTTGCATCCTTTTGGAAGTCTTATTTATTTTTCATATTGGCAGAAGGCTCTTGGCCAAACATGCAGGTAAGCGAGGCACTTTAAAGGGAGTGTCTGAGTAGCATTATGTATTCATTCATTCTCAGGCAATATCAATGGATCAGGTCAGGTTTGAAAAATAACCCTGAGCTGTATTATGGCTCCATATGCAGACGCTGCTTTGCACAACTGGACCTGAAAAGGAAATTTGCGAAGAGAAATGATGCAGAACACTGATGATTAGAATTAGATTTAATCTCAGTCTCTGCTGAAGACGTATGGAAGGACACAAACTTGACACAGATTGAAGATGATGGTGATCCAACCACATGGGGCGAACATTAAGGTCAGATGCTAAAAGAACCCAGAACGTTCTACTGCAAATTCAGCCATAACATATTACACCGTTTATTATTTCTTTCATATATTAATTCGGAACAGAATGTGCAGAGTTGGGTCTGTGATGGATTTTACCGGGGGAATATGACAATTGTAAATGGCAAAAATAGACAGTTGTGTTGCAATTGATTGGGTTATAATTTGAAGTCCCATGACTCGGTGTTATATCGGAGCGGCCATAACTTAACGAGCAGAG